CACCTGCAATAGTGCTCCACCTTCTCTCATATCACCACAGTCGTCTTGCCAAGCGAAATTGGATTTCTCCTAGCTGTCACGTCATAGATTTCCCGAAGACCATGTTCACCCCCATCTACCGTCTTAAATTTGACTTGATCTAATCCATAGCCAGATAACCGATATCATCACCAAATAGATAAATCAAACTCACCAGACTTGAAGAGAACCATTTCTTCCTTGTCGTCTTATGAACCAAGCTAATAAATCCAACATCCACGCTTTCCCGCATCCGTAGACTGAATTCCTGATAATCTGAGAAAATTCACTGTTGCCTTGAATCACCCGAAGAAAATTAGCACCATAGCGTTTGACGCAGATTCCATATATCCCCATCATGCAAACCCCGCAGATCCTGGATATATCCTGTACTGCCAGACAGCCCGTTGATGCTCTCAACGATTTTCACCCGTTGTTGCCCGGGACTTTTTGAATTACCCTATTCAAATCAGATTCAACCAATCGGAACACACTGTCAACATGAATCATGAACAGTGTCGAGCCATGAACAGTACCACCGTGAACAGTACCGGGTTGCAACCAAAACCGACCCAGACACTGCTTTCTTTGTCGGTGAAAACTCCAACTGCCACCACCGAGTACACCACGGCGACCACGCTGTCTCTGCTCACCGATAACGCCGTGTCGCCTCTCCTGCAAGCAGCTGCACCGCTGCATGTTCCAACAGAGTCACCGCTACCTCCGATCTGAACTAGCCGGTAACCGCCGCCTCCTCACCGGAGCCGGCCCGCATCGAACTCGCCGGCACCTGCACAACGACTACACCAAGTCATGCTCCTGCCACCCGACGTTCGTCGCCCCAAATCACTGCCGCCAAGAGGTCCCAGTCCGATCTCCTTTTGCTTTGATGATTTGGTTCGATTGGAATATCTGCAATCCCGTGGATTAATTCCTGTTGCTGAGTCCTGGGAATTTGTTGTCCGATTTTAAGTCCAAACCGAAACCCTCTTCCTTTTCCCTTTCGTGTGTGTCCAACTAGGCCTCCTCTCCTGGACTACTTGCCACAAACGCCGCCGTGAACGAACAGGATACAACTCCTGTCCGTGTTCAACTCCAACACTGTGGCTCCGTCCTGATTGGAGTCCTGTGCAACCATGACTCCTCCCGAGCCTGCTTCCTCTTGGCGTTGCTTCTATCAATGCCGCTAGCCTGGTCTCAACGTGCGGTGCACGCACACCATCGCGACATGGACTTCCAAGCCTTAACGTATCTCACGGCTTCTGCACCTTCGCTTCTGCACTTCCGGCCAACTCCGCTAATGACGCATGCCATCAGTTTGTAACCAATGCATACGATTGTGCAAAGCCTCTCGGTTGAACTGACATTTCCACGATACAGTCAGCCCAATTTGCCGATCTGGTCGTCCTCAGCCCGATCCGCACGTACGCCGCCCTCGAAGCAATTCTGTTGCACACCTTGTCGAAGACACATCCAAAACAGCCTCTAGCATCCACGCGTGGCATGCGCCACCGTTGCGGCTCCACCTCGAGCCCGCAACCCGCTCCGACCTCCGATTGACCACCTGTCAATATAGTCGCGAGCCGAAGCCGACAAATCACATGCCGTCTTCCCAGCCGCCGAACGACCCGAGCGCTACGTCTAGCCGTCTCCCTGTCGAACGCAACTCATCGAAAGACCCGGGACACCCGGCCCAGAGTGTTCGATTCCACCGATCGAGAACGCCGATCGCCTCCAGCTTCAATCAACCCGAGCGTGCGGCCGCACGTCTCCCTGTCGAGAGTAGCTCACCAGAAAGTTCGAGCCACCTGCCCGAAGTGTCTGACCCACCGATTGATTCGCCAATCGCTTCCGCCGCCACCAACCCGAGCACCACGTCTGGTCATCTCCCTATTGAAGTAGCCATCGAACGGTTTAGACCGCCGCCTGAAGTGTCCGATTCCACTGATCAAAATTCCGTTGATCGCCGCCGTGCTCCACTTTGCGTCCATGTCTGTCCCTGGACACCCTGTGTATTCGTCGCAGCGTGGAGCACCTCTCTCGTACCTCTACCATGGATCTCCCGCAGGCTTTGATACCACTTGTTATAAAACTGGCCCCGAAATCACATTGGAAACCAAACGCGGAAGAAAACGCCATAGGAGATCCAAACACGATGACGACACCGAGGCACGATATTTGATAACGGAGTTCAGCCGAGGCCTACATCTCCGGGGCACTGATTACGGGCGCTCCTCCCCGATTCAGCATATACAGCGTATCAGAGTTACAACGACTCACGGCCGGTCGCCGCCGGCAGCTGCTCCCTCTCGCTATGCTAAGTCGTCATGCGGTTACAACAGGCACGCCCCTCTATTTATGAGAGATCGTAGGACAGAGTCCGACTCTTACTCTAGTCCTATACCTAGTACAACTCCAAGTCCTAAACTGTAACCGACTACGTACACATATTCGACACAAACTCTAACATCTTCCACGTGGCGGCAGGAGGATCGATCACCCATGCACCCGCGCGGCGCGACACAAACGTACTCCAACATCACTAACATACTCCAACATCGACAGGGTCGCCCAACATCGTAACGCTGGCACGTCGTCGTCCCCTCCCACGGTGCACCACAGCCGCTGCCGCGCCGGACTCGACATGCTAAAATGCTTTTATGTGTTGGCGTCTAGAGTAGTGGTAGTGGTTAGGGGTAGATAGAAAGCTCGTGACTCGTTAGCTCTGCTTGGCTCGGCTCGGCTCGGCTCGTTTGAATTTTCTAACGAGCCGAGCTGACATTTTAGCTTGTCAGAGATAACGAGCCAGCTCGAGCTAGCTCGTGAGCCTTAATGAGCTAGGACTCCATCACAGCCCAAAAGCCCAATACAACAAAAAGGCCCAAGCCCAAGACACTGCAAACCCTAGTCCTCACTCAATTCCCCACTCTCCCCCAGCCACCGCCGCCGCCGGGAGATCGAGCGCCCGTCGCCGCCGGTATCTGCCTCTCCCCCGCCAGCTCCCGCCGCTGCCGGTCTCCTCCTCTCCCCCGCCAGCTCCCGTCGCCGACGGTCTCCTCCTCTCCCCCGCCAGTGCCCGCCGATGTTAGATCGGGCGCCCGCCGCCACCGGTCTCCGCCAATCCCCCCACGCCCGCCGCCGCCGGGAGATCGAGCGCCCACCGCTGCCGATCTCCGCCTCTCCCCCAGCGATCCAGCGCCCACTGCCGCTGGCGCCCGCCCCCAGCACCCGACGCTGCCGGCGAGCTCGAGCTCGTCCCCTCCAAGTGCTGGCGGAGCTGCGTAGAGTTCATCCCCTCCACTGTTGAGCTCCTTCCTATGGTCGCCGGCGAGCTAGAGCTCATTTCCTCCGCCGTTAAGCTCCTCCCCTCCTCCCCGTGCTCGCCGGCTACGTCTCTTGCCCTAGCTCGCGAGCTTAACGAGCTGGCTCGAGCTTGTTGACGAGCCGAGCCGAGCTAGTTTTCTAGCTCATTAAGATAACGAGCCGAGCCGAGCTAGCTCGTTATTCTAACGAGCCAGACCGAGCCGAGCCAGCTCGACATCCACCCTTAGCAGTGGTCCTATACGAGTATGCGACTCGTACTCCTAATTGTCTCCATATGGTAGTGGTCCCTAGTGGGCAGCCAAACGTCTCTCATTCTTTTGCAGCCTTACCACTGTTGCAGGTAGAGCGTCCTCCTTGACCAAGCATCTCTCTCGGCGTTTCTCACCCACCACAAAAATCGCTTCTTTCCTTCCTCCCTCATAGAGAAATTTTTATTTTTACTACTACTTAGTATATGCACAATAATTAGTACTACCAATAGTACTGTTTTAGTTGTTTTTTTATTGGAGAACATTAAGTGCTCTATATTCGTCATTATGGGCCGGCTGATAAAGTTTTTTTAAATAAAACGAAAACGATTTTGCTAAACATCTCCCGCGTGATTTTTTTCCACATTTGACGTACATTTGACGTTTTTTTGCCACATGATCTTTGCACAAGGCATAGAAGCCCACGAACAGCCCAGCAGCCCATCATCATGCCTAACCCTGATTGCTAACTCCAATCCCGGTCCACTCACTGCCCCACACGACCACGCCCGCACTCGTTCCCCGTTCACATCACATCGCACACACGCCACGCCGCTTGGATCCGGGTCCGTGGCCAGCACCCGCACCGCCGCAGCACGCGATGCATTTGATAAAAAAAAATATGTAAGTAAATATGTACTTATTATTTTCTTTAAAATATAAAATTACAGTTCTATATAACTAAATTTATATTTGTAAATTCAGTTGATTTGACATGTAAGTGCACTGTAATTTTGATAAAAATATTGTGTAAGTAAATATGTACTTATTATTTTCTTTAAAATATAAAATTACAGTCTTATATAACTAAAATTACATATGTAAATTTAGTTGATATGACATGTAAGTGCACTGTAATTTTGATAAAAATATTGTGTAAGTAAATTTGCATTAGTTATTTTATTTCAAATATAAAATTACAGTCCTATATAACTAAAATTACATATGTAAATTTAGTTGATATGACATGTAAGTGCACTGTAATTTTGATAAAAATATTGTGTAAGTAAATTTGTATTAGTTATTTTATTTTGTAGTCCGTTGGATGCAAATCCAAGAGAAGAAAAAAATCTGGGTGATTTTTTCTCAAAAATCACCCGAGTGATGAATAGGCGGTCCCAAAGGAAAAAAGGCGATATTCTTTTCATCTTTCACTGTAGAGGACTGCTTACGTGGGCTTGGGCCACGGGCCGACCCGTTGGACTGGAGGCAGCAAGCCTGGCTAACCCACTTTCCAGCGTTTGAAACGGTTTGAATTCTGCTTTTCTCTTGTGGCACAAATAGACAAAGTGGAATAACTCACTCACCCACCACCCTTAGATTGTATCGTTTCCCAATCGGACGATCAGCAACGCTTAAAACCAAAGCTAGAGACACTGGGGAGCCTATATAATATTCCCTCATCCTATCTAAAATACTACCTATCTCGCCATTGCTTACCTCTAGCCACACCACTCGTCTGCCCGGCCGAGCCATGGATCTTCCGCAGCAGCAGCAGCATCCCGAGATCAATCTCGGTATGCATGTCTCTCCTCCGGGTAGAGCTAGATGCACCTGCTTTGCTCGCGCTGTGGTTACATGTGCCACGTTTCTCGTGTTCTTGATCGCTTCTCTGATCTTTCTCTCGTGTTTTTTTTTCTCTCTTTTTTTTTCATTTCTCTTCGCGCGCGGAAACTGTTTCTTGTTACTCTTTTGATCCGGTCGCGTTTTTCTCTTTCACTTTTTATTTCTTTTCACCTCATGGCAGTGGCGTGTTCATCGCCTCATCATGCATCTTCTATATCTTTCTTGTTGGTTTCCTCGGAAACTGTTCCTTGTAACTCTGTTGATCCGGTCGCGTTTTTCTCTTTCACTTTTTGTTTCTCTTCACCTCATCCCAGTGGCGTGTTCATCGCCTCGTCGTCTTCTATATCTTTCTTGTTGGTTTCCTCTGTATTTTCGCTCGTGGGACTAATCTAGGTTTCATTCTTTAACAAGTTTCTCCTGTTACTAACTAATTCTTATTTTCTTTTCATGATTTAGACGAGAACCGGGGTGCAAGGGTGATGCTGATGGTTCGTTTTATTGGATCAATCGATCTATCATCTTTTGTCTTGTTGATTTTCGTTTTGCCCTTATTTCTTCGTTCCCTGATAATGGTTGTTTCTTGTTTCTTTTTTCCATTTTAGGAAAAGACCCTCCTGAATCCGATCTTCCTCGTGGCGCTTATGATGTACTCGCTTCTCATCGGGAACAGCCTTAGCGGCCGGACGGCTACCCCACATGGATATGGGGCTCCACCCCCATCTCCAGCTGGGCTCGCCACGTTCATGGGGGTCAGCTTCATGTGCCTCTCATTCGTGACGGTGGGCATGGTTCACCTTGTGCTTGTTCTTCATCTTACGATGGTGAGGGGAGTCGGCGGTTTTCCAAGGCTGACGATTCTCTTTCGTTGGTTCATGCCTGCTTGCCTCCTGGCGTCCACCTTTGTATACTTTGTCCAGTCCATGCACACAACGCGGTACCAACCTTTTGTTCTCGTTCCTAGCTATTTACTTCCTGTTTATCTCATACTCATCAATTTTTGTTGTATGTTTCGAAAATCAGTTATGGCATATGGAGGAGCGAGTGGATAACCTTCTGCATCGCGGGGGTCATCTTTGTCGTGATCAATCTCTCAATGATGCTGGTAATAAGTTCGGTTACGTGTCTTCTGAGATTGGTTTTTTTCTCGATCGTCTGAATCTCACATGTTATATACTATATGTTTCTTTTCTCAGAGGCCATTGAGGCAGGTTGGCTTGACTGCCTTCGAGTAGTAGGTCGTCTCTACGTCCGCGCGTTGCCGCCAAGAGGAGGAGCTCGAGGTTCTGTGGTTGGACAAGCGTCAAGAGGTGACGTGCGGTGCGGAGGGCCTACCATGTATCGTCCAGTTCTAGTGGTTCTTCAGTAGTTTCCTAGCTAACTTTCGGGTCCTTAGTTATCATCAGACATAGGTGTCTATCGTCTATCAGTATTTTAGTGTTCTAGCTTTATTATCCATGTAACTCTGGAGTGATGAGGGAACAGCATGTCGATCCTGGCATCTTCAGGTGTAGGTTCTCTAGTAGGTTCAGATCGAATCGGCTGGCGTTGCGTACCTTGCGTTCGTGCATCTATGCACCGGTGTATCCTTTTCAATCGTTGAACTACTGGATCGTTTGATGCAAGCGAATATTTTGCTACTACTCGTACTATTAATTGTTCCTGTGTCTTTCCTTGGTGTGCTAATTAATCTTCTTACAGATTACTGCTAATACTATGCTTGCCCTCTCTCTCGATTACTCTGCCCACTCCATCGTAGCCATGTTGGATCCTAGGTGGGATTACTATACTAGAATGGGTTCGCGCGCTACGCTGCGTGGCAAAAAAAAAACATTAGAGAGAACAATAAATATTACAGGAAAGATTAGAGAAATATAGCGCATACATAGATGCACTTTGATATGTCAATGATGATTTATCGATTACATGGTACATTATATTATTTCATAGAGCACCAATATACATAAAATAAGACACAGAGGGGGGAAAATAATTGTAGTAAGAACCCATTCATACAGTACTGACCCCACTATAAGTCCATGTGCAAGCTTCTTATCCCGTAAAATCTATTTGGAGAGGCCTCTCGATTTTACCTTAACTAGCGACGCCTAAATACGGAGAAATGTGGAGAAGTCCAGCTACTACATGGTACTACATGCATGCTTTTTTAATATACATGTACGTCATTTTCATCTTCAAACAACATGGTACTACATGCATGCTTTTTTAATATACGTGTACGTCTTTTTCCTCTTCAAACAAAGTTTTCTCTCAAATTACTTATTCGATTTACAATCCGATTACACCATTGTGTTCGTTACAATTAAATCTTCACAACAAGATCTTACATGATTATATTACGATGAAAAAATGTTTATATTTGTAAATTACTTTTATTATATATGTAATTTACTTTTATCATATATATATATATAAGTTACTTATAGAGTTGACTAAATTACTTCTTAGACATATAAATGTAAATTTAATAGTCTCTAAAAGTAATTTACATATATTATAAAAGTAACTTAAAATAAAACGGAAGTAATTTTGTCACGACATTATAAGTACATTCGTATAAAAATATGACTTTATCTAGAAATTAAATTTAATCAGCACAGATCAACACACATAAGTTTAACAATTTTTAAAAGTAACTTCAATGTTAATTGGAAGTAACTTTTGCATGGTTCAAAAGTAACTCTCTATAAATCTGTTTAATCATCGATTGTTTTTTCCTTTTGTTTTTGTTTTTCATGTAGAATGAGAAAAGAAGATACTATTATATTTTTCAAGTTGAAAGGAGATACTAGATGGAGTACAAACTAGCTACCACTACCGTGTAGTCACATCCAATTAAAAAAAACATTCATTAAAGTTACTTTCTTTTTGTTATAAGTTACTACTTTAGACTTCATTGAATTTACTTTTACATGTCTAAGAAGTAATTTAGTGAAATCTAAAAGTAATTTAGATATATTAAAAAGTAATTTATAATTTTTCATCAGAATATAATCATGTGAGATCTTGTTATAAAGATTTAATTGTTACAAACACAACGGTGCAATCGGATCGTAGATCGGATGAATAGTTTAAGAGAAAATTGTATTTGAAGTATAGGTGGATAATGTCTCTCATAGATGGAGTGGTAGATGGTTTACCACTAGCTGTGTAGTCATATCCTTCTTATCCTATTTCAATCCACAAAAGAAGCACAGTAGCATGAATGGCTGCTTGGTCGTGCAAACATGAAAGGGCTGTACCTACGTTGGAAAATATAACTCACATAATAATTTCTTTACAAAGCAGTCTTAATCGAACAGTCAGAACATCAAACCAAATAGAATGAATATAAAAGAAGAATATATGGAAATTTGTAAGAACAGGAATGATTATTGGTACGCATCACCATCGTTTTGCCATGCTCCTGTGACATACTAAACCCTAAAAAAAGTGTTTGTGCTCTAGAATAACATAAGACCAAGGCAGTTGTGATTTGTTAATGTTTTATAAAGAAATCATATTAGTTATTTAGTGGGCAACCAAGATTTATATCAAACCTTTGAAATTACACCATCATATGGGTATTGTTTAGCAATGATACATATAAATCACTATAAGTATACTATGTGAGCACACATCAAACCCTAGAGCAGGGTAAGGATGAGAAGTTCAATGTAACTCCTAGGAGTAGTATAAAAGAATTAGAACTTAGAAGAGAACGGTGCAAACAAGAATAAGAATCTCATGATGCTAAGTTTCTTCTTAGTATCTCACTTTTTCCTTTTCAAAGAAGTAAGAGCAACTCAGGTGTATTGAACAAGGTAACAAATCAAGTATAATCACCCTTTGTAGCGCACTCATGATCAACTTTTGGTTTGGGCACAGAATCAGCACGAAAAATTGCTAAATATTTTTGATGTGGCAGTCTAGCATCCTTTAGAATTTCAACTTCAAATTCAATGTTTCAGAAGAGGCAAACATAAATAGTGAAACGCCTGCCCAAGGATAAAACTTGATAGGAGGTAATAATCACGGACAAAAATTTGCATAAGCCTTTAGTCCCAAGCAAGCTGGGGTAGCTAAAGATCAAACCCAAGGCAAAACGCATGAACCAAAAGGGAACAAATAATGTACTACTCCCACCGTCCCATAATATAAGGGATTTCGAGTTTTTGCTTTCACTGTTTGACCACTCGTCTTATTCAAAAAATTTTGGAATTATTATTTTTTTTATGACTTACTTTATTATCCAAAGTACTTTAAGCACAATTTTTCCTTTTTTATATTTGCACAAAATTTTTGAATAAGACGAGTGGTCAAACAATACAAACAAAATCTCAAAATCCCTTATATTATGGGACGGAGAGAGTAATAAAGTAGGATAACACAACATATGAGCTGAGAATGGCTAACATCAACAAATAGGATTATTCAGTCATTTATCGGTTTGGACTCAAAAAGCAGCATTACCTGGGAATAATAGTTAAATTTATCAACCCATCTAATCGAACGTGCATGTGGTTACTTCATTGCGTGCTATGAATGCTGTTCCTGGTATATATTGCGTTGACACTTAGATATACAGATATACAGGTCTTAAAAAAAAGCACATAGGAACCAACTGACCTGGTGCGTCTAGGCCGCCTCAACTAAATGTGTTCCATACTCCTGAAGCATCTCATAGAGTAACAGGAAAACTTTCGACCGGTCTTTACGACTTGAGCAGTTTTCATCTGATTGGCTCGTTTCTCTGATGCCAAGGGATCTAGCCTCTTTCTGAGCCCACCTCTCTCTTTGTCATTGCAGTATTTGGTTTGTCTTGAGCAGGCAGAGCGGCGGACCTCCTCCTGGAGCATTGCTGAGCGGCATCATTCTCAGATGAGGGAAAGATGTCAAGTGATATTCTCAAGATGTACAAAGCCTGCTTCCTCACTAAAGAATCCTTGTCAACCTGGTGTGAAGAGGCTAAGCATGTCAGCACAATCAACAGGATGAGTATAAAGAGTAAAAGGCTAACAGAAACTTGAGTCGGGGCAGAAAGGCCCACCAGTCCCCTGCGAATTTCATCCCAAAATTCATTGGAATTCGTAAGATCATAGTCTTGGGGCTCGTCAGGTCCCGAGAAAACATATTTCAGTGTTGACAAGTAGAGAGAGAGAGAGAGAGTATGCTATAAGCATCCAGGCGCTCAGCAGACCTCAGTGCAAAGAGAGAATGGCACGAGGCCCATATGGACTCCAAGAAGCCAGACCTGCACGAGACAAACCATCGAAATTAACATGCACAGCATATATAGAAGATAGAAAGCTGATGAGGAGCAGGCCAACCTTGAGAGCTTAAGCTGATAAGGTGCACCTAACTCCAGGTCCATAAAGAGGATTGATGATACATGGCATGAGGTGAGTACCTTGTATGTGATCCAATGTACTTAAGGCTGAGAATTCGAGAGCTCTGGCTGTCCAAGGCACGACTAGCGGCAGGAATGTCCTGCACTGCAGAACTTCTGCACAGTACAGTGCGTATTTAGCATGCTTTCTTGCAACAATTCATCCACCATGCATTACTTTTCAGTAAACGGATTACACAAAAACAAAACTGGGAGCAAGGTCATCAGACCTGTTAATTATCACATAAGATCTCTTCAAATCTTGACTGAATCTGAAGTAAAATATGCAAGAAACAACTCTAATTAAGTACCAACAGGAAACCTAAACAAAAACCGTAGATCCATAAAGTCATAGAGAGGATTTGATGCTACATGACATGAAAATATGAGATGAGTACTTTCTATGCGATTCAGTGTACTCAAGGCTGGGAACGCCAGTCCAAGAATTTTTTTTTTTTAAAAATATGTTGGCTAGAAGGAGCTAGCCAACCGATGGAATTAAGATAGGAAGAGTCACATATTTTCAATCCTTCATTTGATCCAGACGAAAGGTGAAGAGTTTAGGTGCGTTGACAACTGAACGCATGTGCCAACTGCACCGTAAACACATCTCCTAGTCCAAGAATTTCCTAGGCAAGAGAGAGCTGAGCTGTGCATGTTCAGCATGCTGCCTTGCAAGTTGCAATCATTTATCCGCCATGCATTATTTTTCTCTTCACTAATTCTATGTCATGACAGGAAAACAAAAGTGGGAGAAAGCCTATCATACCTGCGAATCACCAAATAAGATCTATAATCTCTTTCAGTCCTGACGAGCACGGAGCACCTGGAACTATACCTGGAACAAGTTGAGTTTCTGAAACCAGCGAAGAGCTAATGCGGCATAGCTGCTTCTCTCCGCCCTCCCGCCGCCACCGCATCGTGCAGAGGATAGGGTAAAGGGTGTACGGACAAGTCGAGAGGGAGCACGAGCACCATCCCCGGCGCCAGAGCCCGGAGCAAGGGTAGCCAAATCCACCGGTGGGGAGGCCTAGACCATCAGCTTAGACAGCCCTCGAACCAGAGGAGACGCAGTGATGCACGTACCTGGCATACCAGCTGTTCTTTGGATGTATCGCCCTTGGCTCCCGTGGCTATGCGATGTCCATGGACTCGCGCGAGGCAGGGGAGGGCAGACGACAGTCCCGCGCCGGCGGCCGGTCCGACGCCGCCCTAAGGGGAGGGGCATCGGCGGCGGATGCGCGACGGGTTCCGCTGCCCCCGTAGGTCCCCCGTCACCGCCGCCACAGAGGGAAAGAGAATAAAGAGGGGAGCACCGGTGGTGGATTTGACATGCGCCTCACCCGCCCTCCCGCCGCCACCGCATCGTGCAGAGGATAGGGTTAGGGGTGCACGGAGAAGTCGAGGGAGCACGAGCACCATCCCCGATGCCGGAGCCCGAAGCAAGGGCAGCCAGATCCACCGGTGGGGAGGCCTAGACCATCAGCTCCAGCCGCCCTCGAACCAGATCGGGCACCAAGCGGAGTGGAGAGCGTGAAGGAGAGGGAAGCGGTGGGCGATTGGAGATGAAAGGGGGGAAGAGGGAAGCGACGGCCAGCACCACTCTTGTCCGGGTGGCTGGATCTTCCAGCGCAGCGAAGATGGCTAGAAGAGCGTGGAGCTGCGGCGACGGCGGCGATGACGGCACATGCGAGGAGAGGAGAAGGGCGAGGCGGTGCGCGCGAGGGAGGAGGTGAGGCGGCGCGGAATTAAATTTGAAAATATACTGTTTATTCAATTTTTTCTTATAAATATTTAGGATGTAAAATTTTTTGCGTAAATATAGCGTCGATCTCGCACAACCGTTGCGCGAGAATGACGGGGAATAACGTCGTGGACGGTATCGCGTGACGAAGGCGCGAGACCGCGCGGTCTCGCGGAATGGTACAGCGAGACAGAACGGTCTCGCGCAAGCACTGAGCGAGACCGGTGCCATGCTGATTCAATTAGGGACTAATTATCTTGATAGCAATTAATTAATTATTAATTAGGATAATTAGTTGATAATTATTATTAGTTAATTGCTAATTAAGTAATTAAGCACTAATTAAATGGAGCCGGTGGACAGTTTCGCTGTCTGATTCCGCGAGACCGAACGGTCTCGCTCTTCCATTGCGCGAAACCGCGCGCTCTCGTGCCTTCGCCGCGCGATACCGCCCATGGCGTCACACCCACCTCGGTTTCACGCAACGGTTGTGCGAGATCGACGGTATATTTACACAAAAAGTTTTGTATCCCGGATATTTATGGGAAAAAAATTGAATGAACAGTATATTTTTAAATTTAATTCAGGCGGCGCGTGTGTGCGAGTGCGATTGCGCGAGACGGCGAGAGAGGAGGAATGGGCGACGTGGGAGGCTCAGCGGCCACCAAATCGACGCCTCGGCAAGGACGACCAACAGGGAGGCACGGACGGATGGATGAAGCCCAGACGCAGAATCGGACGGCCCGCAAGACGCCCAGCCAACAGCAACGTGTCGCAAGGCGGTTGGTCAACAGTAGCCAAATCGCTGGGAGGCCGGTTAATCTAGCACCTTTAAGATATCTAGTATTCCAATCCAAGAGATTCGGTTTTGCAAATATTTCTCTTTGCTCGACCGAGTTTTTACTGTTCATGAGATTTTGTTGGGTTGCCAGTATGGGATTGCCTCTAATTTGCTTCGATCGATTCTGGTGTGAATTGACTGCAACAAGATAAAATGCTGTTGCACCTTATCTGGATACATTTTTAGCAGTGATCCAGGATCTACTATTCTCTCTGTTGTTTGGTTGGGGTTAGTTAATTAATTAACTCAATTCTCTGTTTTTGCCTGCTACGTTTCGTGCTGTTAATCTTCTTAATTATATGGAACTTCGGTGAAACGTTGAAGTATATGCCGGGAAAAAAGTGGATGGAATCTCTAAAAGAATGTTGCATACATTTTACTTGAGAACTTTTTCTTCTCACTTTCATCTGTATATAAGCTCAAGCCCCTCAAGAGCTACGAGTCTAGCAATTTCTTTCTTGTTTTCCTCCGCCTTCCTGCGGGTGGGTCTAGCCCACGAATGTTCGCGACAAGACAATCTCACGAACCGATAAGTTTCCATCGTTCTCCATGCCTAATACGTCTAATTACGCCCCTAATCATGATTAGCGTTGATCTTCTGTTAAAAAACCAAATCTACACGTACTTTCTCCTTTTTCGGTTACGAGGTTTGCTTTGATAATAAGGTTCTGTTTTTTTCCAAAAATATCCAGCGTTGATTAACATATTTTTTTTTTATTTTCATTGAAATTTATAAACCAAACTTTCTAGTTGCATATATAAATTCTATATAAAGTTCATATGCAGAATTGTTTAAAAAATTATTTCCGTGAAAACTTTCTACATATAGATTTTATATATATGAACTTTCTAGATATAAATCTTTTATATATAAAGTTTTAACTCCATATAAAGATTTTTTTATATAAAAAGTCTATATATTGAACTTTTATATACGTAAAGTTTATATGTGGAAAGTTTCCACGTGAATAATTGATATAGAAAAGTTTCCGTTAATAAAACTATAGAAAGGACTAGGGAAAAAAAAGGAAATCTAAAAAGAAGGAAATATTACCCGGAAAATCGGGTAAATAAAAGGAAAATTAGAAAGGAAGAACGGATATCGCTCCATCACACGTCCTCTAATCCTCCTTTCCGAGTGATTCGCGAGATTATAAGTTGGCGAACGTTCGCCCGGTAGCCATTTCGCCTTCCTGCGCATAATATCTCCCTCTTCCGTAGTACAAGTGTATGTCTCTTTAGAGTGCTGCTAGGTCACGGCCGCCGTTCGTCCAGCTGCCTTGAGGCCAGCCGCCGCCGTTGCCTGTTCTGTTCTGTTCGATAGTCCTCACGTGCTCTGCTGTTGATATGTGATGCATCATGAGCTGACTTGGGCCCTGATTGGAAACATAGCAACCCAGCCCATTTACAGCCCAACCAATTCTTAACACCCCCACACGCTGACCTTCATCACCGACGTCGTCTGCTCCGTCTGCAAGATGCCCGATGTCGCCGAGAAGGTGATCAAGCAGGCCGAGCACCGGTACGGGCGTACGGCGTGTCGCGGACCGGGAGGTGCTGCGAGCTGCTGGTCGTAGGATACTGCCGCGTGGAGATGTTCTCTGACGCTTGCAGGCCTGCAGGGTATGGAACGGGATGGAGAGGCGCGGGCTCGAGCCGGCCGCCACGGCATACAAGGAGATCGTGGTGACGTTGTTCAAGAATAACCTTGTCGCGGACGCCATGAAGGTGTTCGACGGAATGCGGTTGAGGGGCCCGGGCAGTGGTGTCATGGCTGTGCAAGGAAGAGAGAATGTGGGGCGCGCAGATGGTGTTCGCTGAAATGGTGAAGATAGGTGTGGAGGTGGACGGAGAGGTGATGGGGGATTTGGTGTATGGACTAGCTGCATGAAACTTGCAACCAAGCAGAGAAAACATATAATTTGGGGCCAAATCATTGTTTCCATTGCAAACAAGAGATAGATGGAGCAGTTCAAAGTCACTGAATGACTGCAAATAAACGATCAAGCAACTCAAAACTCTGTTCCTTGTTGGACAGGATGCACGGACTCAAGATAAAACTATTCGATCTGAATCTACCACAGACACCATCAAGATACAGGAACCTACAACGACGACTACAGCTATTATTCTATCAAAATGCGCCAATATGACTCAGGCCTCAGGCAGCGCCGACCTCCTGCTTCTATGCTTTAGCTGTTCACCTTCGTCTTGCTCTTCTTCACCTTCGCCTTCTCTTCCTCTTCTTCGCCTTCCTCTTCATCGTCTTCCTCTTTATTTGCCTCTGCATCTTTGTTTTCTTTATCTCCACCTTCATTGCCTTCGCGTTGCTTCTTCTTGCGGTGCAAAAGGTCCTTTTGCTTCGGTGAGCCCTGTGAATGAAAAAGGAAAAGGAAAAAAAAGAGTCAGATAGAGATTACAAAATGGATCAAAAACAAAGAATGTGAAGAAGAAGAAGAAGAAGAAGAAGAAGAAGAAGAATCCTCACCCAGATGAGGATGAAGGTGAAAAAGACCACCACGACAGCCGCCATGGCAAAAGCAACCCGCTCCTTGACAAATACTCCATCCGTTTCGAAATGTTTGACGCCGTTGACTTTTTTAAATATGTTTGACCGTTCGTCTTATTTAAAAAATTTAAGTAATTATTACATCTTTTCTTATCATTTGATTTATTGTTAAATATATTTTTATGTAGGCATATAATTTTACATATTTTACAAAAGTTTTTAAATAAGACGAACGGTCAAACATGTGCTAAAAAGTCAACGGTGTCAAACATTTCAAAACGGAGGGAGTATTTTATACCTCGAGAGGCACAAGAACTGCAAGAAGTAGGAAAGGGTGCATAGAGCGAAACCGGTCGGAACGAAGCAAGAGGCCACCTTGGTAAGTTGAAACACATCACGGGGACGCTTGAGGCAGAGATGGCCAATGATCGCGATGTGAAAGAAGATGACGGGGGTGAACTGAAGCCAGGTGGATGCGTAGTCGGGGTCATCTCCGGTCTCCCAGCGGTCGGGACCGTGGAAGTTGGTTGGGGTGCCGGCGACGTGGTCAGGCCTTGGCCTGATCAGCGACATCTTCGCTGCACGCCCGCTGAGGCTGTAGGCGATGGCGACGGAGTAGCCGAGGGTGGAAGTGACGAAAGTAGATGCGAACACAAATTTGGTCTGCCAAGAACAAAAAAACAACAAGTAGCTTGAATCAGAAAACGCCGAGACTGCCTGGATGGGTTATAGCAGCAAGAAAGAAGAATAACTCGCCTTGGTCATGATGTGACCTTCCATGGCGTGATCTTGCTCTGCATGAAGAGAACTCTATAGTTGTGATTGGTTGAGAGGAGAGTGTAGGTAGAGAAATAGCTTCATTTTAGGATAAGTTACTGTGCTAGAAATAGCTACATTTTTGGATAGGGGTAGTAGCTGGTATATATGCATATTTTCTGCTTTCATTTGTTTACAGAACACCTGCTTAGTTCGTTATTGGTTCATAGAGCTGTTAAAACAGTTCCGTGCGCATTTGTAATGATTCAGGGTGATAGCAGGAGGACCGGAGGAGGCTTGTGCATGTATTATCAACTATTAGGATGAATCTGAGATATGTTTTCCAAGCTTCAAAATGATAATATAGCGACATTAGTTAAGCTGATCTTTAGCAATGTATGAGTCTATCTGAAGGCAGCATAATTCAGTTTTATGTATGGTAGGAGTTTTAGAATCCATTTCAGTGTGATAATTCTCTCCTGTACCTTTCTTTTAAGCACATATTCAGATTATTTGTAATATGATGTGCACTAACGTGAATATTAAGTATTGGTGTCAATGTTCAATGGGGAACCAATCTTTCATGTAATATATTCACTCGCGCATGGCAAAGCCACGCGTGTTTTCTAGTGTTTTCTAAATGTTAACTGCAGTTAAAAAAAAAACTCTATTCTTATAGTTCATCTAATGGAAGAATACCTTAGCCAGGGAAACTGGATCCTTGCTCACAAATGCACAAGGTAGAAATACTGGATTAGGTGGTACTGATTTACTGTACTCCAGAAGTTCTTGCAGCTGCGATGAATTCTATGGAAAGTAAATTAAAAACATGTAAGAATCAAATCCCTGAATAAGGCGTTCAGATTTTTTTGAGCACAAGGTGCCATTGCCAGCAAAAGCAATAACTACAAAAGATGTACCAAAAGCAAGTAAGCAAATTCCTATATTGCTAGTTAGCATGAGCAAGCAGATGCCCAAAAAATAGCTCACCAACACTAATTTTTCGTGCTGAACGAGTAGAGCTTTTGTTATGAAGTTTATGGCTATAGAGTTTAATGACCTCTGAGAATAACTTAGTTTCCATGTCTTGGCATGACTAGATTTAGTGCCCATATTTTGACATGACTAATTGATGTCAAACTTAATCAATTAATTAATCGAAGTTAGTTTTTTTTTGTCCAAAAACAAAATCAAAGACAGATTCCTCTGCATTGAGTACAAAGAAAAGAAATAACAAAATGCAAGTTCTGAGCTAGGTACTGACCTTTGGCACCATATGCTTGCTGATCAAATACTTTATTTAAGTCAACCTGACAGCGTACAGACTGCACCACTGTAACAAGAGCGTTGACTTCAAGAATCTGCCTTTCCAAATCCTCAAGATTGTCTTCTACTAAGTCAACTTTATTCAATATCACAACATCCTGTTAAGGAAAGTTTGACGCTTTCTGTTATTATGGTTGTTTGCATTTTGGAATTCATCAGCAGGACAAATTTCAGCACAGCAGAATCAACACAAAGGATTCCAAATTTTGTAGCAAAGACAAAATGGTACAAATATGATAACACCAAGGACCAAGTTACCGAAAATGCAATTTGATGAAATGCTTCAGGGAATGATGATGACTTTTTGTGCTCATCAATTTGCAGCCTGAAGGCTTTTGCATCAATAACCTGATCAGTAAAAAATAAATATAAGAAAAATGTCCAATATACAGTCCTTCAAACTTTTATCCAAAGAGTAACAGTAAGGAGCAAAGAAGCAGGCACATTTTCCGAACTTGTGATACAGCCAGACTAACAAATAAGAACATAAGGTTGAACTAACCATAACGATAGAGTAAAATTTAATTGATGACTCCAACTGGTCGTCTAGCCACAGAATAGGGACAAGAGGTGACAAGAGGTGCAGGATCAGCCAATCCTATTGTCTCTAGTAATATGTAATCCATTCTGCAGCACATAGAATGATTCCTAACAAATTAGGATAATAATCTTCAATCCGTACCGTCGTAATTTACAAGGCACTATAGTATAATAAACTAGTAATATTATTAAAAAAAACCAATATTTTTTTAATGAAAGATCAAAGTAAGAGCATGATCCACTTTATTGCATCAGTGCATAGCGTACACAGGTAAGTGCATCAAAGTTTTGAATCAAATTTTTAGTATTTCCAGAAGAACTAGAACAAACAAGCAATCACATCAACTAACGAAAAAATGCCACAGGGTAAACATAGTTTTAGAGCTAAAACCAGAATGTCGGTAGCAAATCAGAACATGCCACTAAGGCTTTGTACAGAAAATATGAGGGAAGAAAACATAATAGTAGGACCATATGTTGTATGCTACATATCCATGCAAAACAGCAATATTCGTACTTACCTTTCCTTTGTCTGCACAAGCTGCTCAAGTGCTTGAACCAGGCTGTGTTTCACCGTGCAACAAACATATCCATTTGCCAGCTCTACCCACTCTTCAACAAGCGCGCCACCTTGCCCCTTATTGATCATTGCTCTTTCAAGTCCAATTTCCTCTCTGAACTCATTCAATACCACTGCAATTCTCTTCCCATGTTGCGCACTCAGAATGTAGTTGACTAACTGAAAAGTGATGCGCGGGAGATAAGCTATCCCATAACATACCAATTAATTGAACTTACAAACTGAAATTTCACAGAACACTTGGTTAATAAGTACAGGTGCTGCTAGGAAAATGGTAAGGTGAGACATAGTAGAAGCAATGTCAACATAAGCTAAATAGTAAATGACCAACTGACAGAAGGACTAATGGTCTGATGTTAGAATTTTTTTTGAACGTAATCTGATGTTAGAATTTCAAATCAAGATACGGACCAAGATAGATCAAACAAGGAATTCTGTTGTGAGATAAGAAATATCCTAAAAATATGGCTTCATTCTGCTAAAAAGCACAGGATAAAATTGTAAACACATGTATAAATCCTAAATATATCATCAACTGTGTAAAAGGTTATCCATGACCATGAGTACCTCAGTAACGTTAAGTTTTTTTGTTCAAGAAACTAGTAACTCAACAGTTGGGGATATAACATTCAACTACAGGTCAAAATTGATAGCTAACTAGCTCGGTCGACGAATCATTTCTTATACTACTACAACTACAAATAAATTGAAAATGAGCTCCTATGAGAAACAGAGCCCTCGAAACGAAAGTTCTACTCACAAGACCGCTCTTAAATAGATACGGGGACTGCTCCAACCAACACAGCATGAGGCAAACTACCTAAACTTAAGAAAAAAAAAACAGCAAGAGCTATGGCGACAGGAAACCCGATCGGATCAAACTTCCAGTCACAAGTGCCCCCAGGCTCCAGTCCTCCAGGAATCTTCCATTGAGCAATCTCGTGAGTCGTATCCTACTTAGCGCCAGCAATCTTTCGGCCTCAATTCTCCGAGCAGAGTGTTTTCCAGAAGTGGCAGTGGGTGCGGAAGCGGTAAAGGCGTAGCCTACGGAGAAAACCTCACCGTGGACTTGCCGGCGCCGAGGTAGACGGTGATGAGTGATGACGGTGACCCCTATAGGCGATGACGCGGAGGGACCGGGCGGCGGAGGACTGTGCAGCGTCTCCGGCGAGGGGAGGGCACTCGTCGTCGTTCTCCATGGCCGCCGCCGCCGCCGCCGAGAGAGTTCGAGAACTACGGAAGGGTTGGTGTTTTGAGGCCGTATAGAAAAGGAAAAAGTGCACTGGAGGTCCCTCAACTTGTCATCGGGACAATGAAACGTCTTCGAACCATAAAACTAGATATGTGAGGTCCCCTTAACTGTATAAAACCGGTCACCCGAAATCAAGACCGTAAAACTAGATATGTGAGGTCCCCTTAACTGTATAAAACCAGTCACCCGAGATCCTTCAGTGGTTTTGACCCCGATTTTAGTCTACATGGCAGCTGAGCCAGCATGGGACCCACATGAGCCCCACATGTCAGCGGGCCACGTCAACTCTCTTTCCCCTTTCTTTTTTCTCTTCTTTTTCTTACTTATTCACAGCAACCTAGTTCGGAATAATTAATTATTTGCCACTCTTACGTGCTAAATGATTTACCACTAGATCCATATGTCATAAACACATGCGGGCCCACGTATCATAATGTGGCAAATAATTAATTACCACATTTTTAAAGTGGCCAAAAGTTAAATGTCCCTAGGTAGTTCGCTCACCGACGTTCATGCGCCGGCAGCCTAGGCTCGGCGACGGCGACGAGCGGCACCTTCCGGCGTGTGGACAGCCCGACCAGCTCCTCCATGCTCACGTCCTCCGCCGCCACGCGAACCCCTGCAGCAAGCTCGCCACGCCCAGCGCCACCATCTTCTTCGCCAGGTTGGTCGCCGGATAAATCTGCCGCCCTGACTCGAACGGCAGCAGCTCGAAGTGCTGCCCGTGCACGTCCACTACGTCGTCGCAGCTGCCGGCGCCGGGGAGGAAGCGCTCCGGCAGGAACGCGTCGGGGCGGTCGAGCCACGACGCCGGGTCGCGTGCGATGGCCCACAAGTTCACCAGCACGCGCGTGCCGGCGGGGACGTCGTAGCCAGCGACCACCGTGTTCTCCCTGGCGTGGTGCGGGACGAGCAGCGGGGCGCGGTCGAGCTCGTCGGTTACGCCTGTTCATGACGATGAACTGGAACCTCGGCTGAGTATTCCTACTAGACAAAACCACCCCCGAAGCAATCAGATCCCTAAATCACAGGCTCACACGGTATCAAAACCCCAACCAAAACCCTAAACAATCACCTCTTCACAACGAAGAGCAATCCCTCCACATCCTTCCGCCTCTGAAACATAAAAAAGAAAAAGAAAAAACACAGCGCATGAGTGAGCTCACAGGATCACCAACCAAGCAAACAACCGAATCGGATCCGCGAGGAGGGAGGGAGGAGGGATTGCTCACTCATTGGTTGAGGTCGATGTTAGGATGTCCTTGACGGCGGGGTCGAGGCGCTGCAGCACGGTGAGGTTGAGCAGCCGCGTGCCCTCGGCGTCCATCGTCAGGTTTGGGGTCACCTCCCCCCAAACCTCAATTGGATGAACTCCATCATCATCGTCGTCGTCGTTGGCTGCGGCTGCGGAGGCGGCGACATGCCGGCATCCCGCGTAGGCTTGGGCGGTGGCAGGCGCTGGATCTGAGGGAGCGCAGCAATCAAGTTGGGAATCGCGGCAAAGAGAGAGATGACGTGGACAGTATGACATGAGGGCCCACGTGGGTCCCACGTAGGCTTAAAACCATTGAAGGATTTCGGGTGACCAGTTTTGTATAGTTAAGGGACCCCGCATATCTAGTTTTGTGATTTAAGGACGTTTTTTTATCTCGACAACAAGTGGAGGGACCTTCGGTGTACTTTTTCCTATAGAAAACCGTATGAGAAACCCAGTTGTCCGATCTACATCTGACGGCTCAAAAAAGCCCAATCTGATGGCCCAAAATGCCTCCTCGTTAACACTTGGCCCATATCATTTGAATCCCAGTATGAAGATTTCTGTCTTCTCAGACTCAGTTTAGGCCACACACTGACAAATCTGAAGTCTTTCAGGACAATCATTTTTTTTTCCTTTTGAGAATCAAGAGCTTAATATGAATTAATCAAGTTACATTTGAAATTCAGTCCCTAATTCTTCTGGGATAAACTACTTCCTCTAAGTTTCTGTTAAATTCAATCATATGTTCGAAATGGAGCCTCAGATAAGATAAGAGAAGTAAATTTGTATGTTACAAAAATTAGCATTTTGATGTGTTTGCTGAAAGCATGCCCAAAATAAACCTAAAAAAATATTTCTAAAATTCTGCCCCAGCTACCGCACATCGTAGGACAATCGCTCTCCCATGCACGAACTTTTTGGGATCAACGAAATGGGAGCCCATGGTCCTCCTAACTTGTGGAGAGGGAGAAACATGGGATTGGGGTTTCTTTTCTAAAGAAATTTTAAAAAATCTGGATTGATGGCCTACTGGATCCATTTTTCCCTAAAAAGTCTAATATCGTAGGATTTATATTATTCTTCTTCTACCTTATAGTTCACCAACTATAGTTCTATACAAACCTCATTCATCATCTATCTATCCTATACATCACCAACTGCAGTACTACAAACCTCATTCATCATCTATCTTATATACCTATAGTTCACCAACTGTAGTCGTACAAACATCAAATCTAACAGCCTATCTACGTTGCCTATTTGGCACAGCTCCAGCTCCAACACCACGGCCACCTCTCTTAGAGCTAGAGTCTAGCTAAACAGTTTCAGCTTCATCAGAAATGGGAGTGGAGTTGGGTGGAACACTCTCACAAAATAAACTAGAGAGATGTAGTTGGGTTTAGACTACTTCATAACTTCACTCCAGACCTAACTGCTGGAGCAGAATTTAGGAGTTAAAAGTTCTGCCAAACAGACGAATAATGAAAGAGGTGGAGCTGTTGGAGCTCTACAAAATGATGCGTTCTCCCAAGTCCCGGCCGCCCCACACCGCCGCCATCCACTCCTCCTCCTCTCTGCGCCGCCTCCCACATCCACGTTTGAGAGCGCAGGTTCTCCGGGGTCCGCGGCGGCCAAGCATTGTCTCCCACGGGCGGCCGGGCCAGCGCACAAATCCGGCGGCCGAAGCAGCAGCAGAAGGTCGCGGCAAAACCTCCGCGTCGCGTCCCCGCAACGAGGGAGCACGCGACCGCGGGACGAGCAGCAGCCGATCAGCCCGCCGCCGCAGAAGGTTGCCAACTTGCCAAGACGGCAGCCGGCGAGGCCTCCCGCTCCACCATCCTGTCCGGGTCGGCGGACCGCGGACAGGCCGTGCTGCACGTTCTTCGCTTCGCCGGCCAAGGCGGCCAAGCAGGTATTCCTCCTCTATTTCTTCCGCCTTACTCTTCTTTATCTGAATCACCACCCAGTTCTTTATTTCTGTCGACAATTCTTGCGCATCTCATGCTCCGATTTAGTCGCAGCAGGAATCCAAGAATTCTTCCAGCGAGGCATCCCGCTCCGGGGCTACACCACCGGCGAGGCCGTCCTCCTCAGTGGAGATGGGTAGAAGACGATCACGCCGGTAAAGCCTCCTCTCCCCAGTCCATTTTCGTCCTTAGCATAATATGAAATCGAAAGAAAGAAGAACGAATTCACATGCTCTGCTTGCACATTTTGACGCACCAAAATACCTGCATTGTTTACACCCAAATTTTAGCAAAATTTGTTTCATATGAACCACAAATTCACATTCAGCATCTGAATCACATCTCTGTGATTGCCTGGACACCTCTGTTACTGGCGATTGATGTTTTATTCAGCTTCTCTGCATGTCATTGTCATTTGGCAATCTGCCATTCTGAAACCTGAACATTTTTGTGTTCATTCAAAAAAAACCTGAACATTTTGTACCTTTCAGGAGCTAGAGGTTGAGTATCGAGTGAGGAGAGAGAGATACCCAGGCCGAGTTTGCTTGCCAGCGGCGAGCTGGTGGTGCGCACCTGCAAGTGTGGTGTCCACAAGGAGTTCAGCTTCCACCATTCCCACTGAGATTGACAAGGTCATTGCTATCTGAAATACTCCTGTACTCGAAGCTCTGAGATTGAGAAGGTCATTGCTGTCTGAACTACTTCTTTAGTTGCCTGCTTTGTTTAACTTGGCTACATAGTTGAGGTACACTGCAAATAAAATGCTTTATATCCAATAATTTGTAGGATAAGAAACACATTCCAGATTCACATAATAATAAGGATATAGACCCTCCATGCATTTGTTGATTCTTTTTAAACCCAAGAAGTAGCAAGAAGTGACCTGATAGGGCAGCCGTACGGCATAAATATATAGTTCTGTTTGTGGTTTTGAATTATCAACATTTATAACTGATAATTATCATGCAAACTAAAAATTTGAGAAAAATATGCGCATGCTGAATTTCTTAATGAGATCACAGTAATCTTCCTTTGAAAGAAAAAACTATTTTGAAACATGCATATTGCCCGCACTTGCTTTTAATTACTGTGAGTTTCAGGTACAAAAGGTCCTAACCTTCACAATATATATTGCCCACACCCTTGTTTTTCTTAAATGAACAGTATGTGTTGTTTGTTAATTTTATCTGATCAGTATGTATTGTTTGTCACGTGATACACTGAGTTAAGAAAGTCATTGCTAGCGGTGCTGCTTTTTGGTAGCTATATTTTTCTGACTTCTAAGTACAACCATATTTTTTTCAGGGCTGCAAGCCTGCAACAATGATGGATTTTTTTTTCCATTCAGACCCATATCTTAGCATTCGGCTGGTGTTTGTGGGTAGAAATTATTGCTGAACAGTTCTTTACCAGCATTCTCTAACAGCTATTTACATGCATAGTTAAACCATTTGTATCAAGGAAGTTTTGCTAAATTTTAGTAATTGTTCAGTTAGCCTTTTGCTTACCATAATTCCTTCCAAGAAAGGCCTCTGGGTGTATTCATAATTCATCCTAAAAAAATGAGAGTTCCTTATTTAAGTCTCAATGTAGAAGTAAAGCTACGCCTTATTCAGCTGGCTGGCTTACTTTTCGCTACAGAAATTGAGATTAAGATGATGCAATTGCATTCTATTACCGTCTCAATAGGTTTCCAATAGACCATCCAATTCTATCAGTTAAAGCCTATTGTTATGCCTATGGTGTTATACTGTGCATTTGTTATGATTGTGCCATTTTTAATGTTCTTAACATGTGGTCCTGCAAGGGAGTTGTGGCCATGCCAAATCCTAGGAGACATAGAGCCTAGCTGCAGCGGCATAGTGGTAGTGACACAATAAATTTATGAACTGTTTTCATGCTCTCCCACAGGATTACTAACATCCAAAATGATGCTTCTTTCATATTTGGACATATAGCAATGGTTAGAAAGCTATCTGGCTTCGGTTATTTGCGCAACTTAGGAGTTTACTGCTACTTCAGCTCAGAATTGTTGGGTAAGATCTCATAAGATAGAAGTTCCCCTATCATTTTCATGTACCATTGCCACCGAATATAAGCAGCCTCTTCTCAATCATGGTGGACTAAATGCCTAAAGCAAATATTATCTACATGAAGTCTCTCGGTAGATTTTCTGAACTGCACAACACGACAGCATGCTTGCTTACGCCCCATTGTGTTTTAATAATTATATTTTATATCTGACATTCCCTTTTTTTCGTCAGGCTTTAACATCAAATGCTTTGTTGTTGCTTCCAGCGTGAAATTTCAGCTAATCAAAGGAAATTGTCAGCGAGTTCCTTCTGGTGGCTACGGGTCCGAATACTCAGCATGTAAGCCAATTTTCCTATTCTCTCGAAATTTCCCTTTGCTTTATGAAACAGATGCCATGTTCTGTAAAATGTTTCATTCTAACCAGATAGAAGCACTATGAATTGTGTAATTGTGTGGAGAACATGACCTAAAATGTTAAAATGGTGTAAATATGGTATAAACATTTGTCCTACTGCTGCTAATATGATGTACACATGATCTAATAAAGCACTACACCATGTGCAGCAATTAGGCAATTGTACTCAAACTTTATAGCACATGGTATATGCAATTCAGATGTCTCTATAGGCAGGACCATCTCCTCTTACGACTTTCAGAAGAAATAATACCTATATACTCACCCTGCACTCCTCTCAAAACACAAGCAACAGCTATTGACACTGGCCATTTCTAGAGGGTAGGGAAGGAAGAAACGAGTAGTGATCACAAGCAACTGCTATTGACACTAGATCACTGGCATCATTTCTTTTGATGGGAAAATCATCAAAAGATGCCTTAGAACAGAACAGAAACAAAAGATTCCAGTTATTTTATCCATCTTTTCACCTATTCTTGTCTTTGCCTCAGTCCTTTTTTCTGGTACTGAAAGATCTCTGGTGCCATATTCTTTTAATATGTAAAATCATTAGATGCCTCATTCAAATCTGAAGATCATTCACATCTTAATCATATTGCAGAGGATATGATCAAGAAATTTGTGAATGGCTTGTCTTCCTTTATCCATTTTCCATTTATTGCACATTGCATCATCGCATCCTCTTTTTTGTGTACGGTCATGTTGTAGTTGATTTTGCTGCCTATTATGCTGATTGGTTTCTCTACAGGTTTTTGCCATTTCACCTGGTGGATAAAGACACAGGGCTATTTATCTTTGACAAATAGCTATCATAGACTAGCAGTTGCTCAAAAAAAAATTTCTAAGGTTGTACATTCTGTTGCTGGTTGAAAACTCAATATCAGAATGGTTGAACCATGGCATTCTGACCATTCTTTTTCTTTGGGCTTATTTTTTATTTTGACTTGCTGCATTGTGGAGAGTCTTGAAAATTATTTTTAAGGGCTGGAGGGTCTTGAATTGAACTAAAGAAAGCTTGAATCTTTCGCTGCACACACCAGTGAGTTTTTTATTGGAAAGACATAATTAGATATAGTTTTGCATTACATGTTTTATTGCTTGAATTGCACTGCTGTGATCACTGCATTTATAATAATGATAACTGCATATGTTTTCTTCAGTCACCCATTTGTTTGCCATTATTCTTTCTTTTTGCGCGAATCCTAAATAGATCATAATTTTTATGTGTACTACAATAAATTTTGGATGGACAATACAAGTTTGTTGTTCTTTTGCACAACCACATTGAGTTTGTGTATATTTTTCCCATAGGAACACATGGGCTCCCAACTAGTATGCAGAAGAGGGCTTCCAAAAGGTGATTATGGCCTCGGATTGTCTATCCTATCATCCAGAGAATTTGGTCGGGAACACGGGATTGATCCATGGCGGGAGCGGGGAGCCCTTGTTGCTGACATGAAGAAGCGTGCAACCTACCTTCCTGGAGTGCTCCTTTTCACATGTTAATCGACTGTCTAATGTAGCATCACACAATTTGGCTTGCTGTCCGGAGCTTTTAATGTCTTTGGTTCTATAACCCTAGAATGTATCCGGGAAGTGCCCCGTTCTAATGCTAGCTAATCAATAGCTGCGATTATCCTTTTTTTAAAAAAAAAAAAAGCATATACATGATCATTCGGCAATCTTTGATATTACAGACTTTGAAGTTGATCTAGCCATGTAAATGTACGGACGCCACGAGTTCACACAATTCGGCAGGATTGAATTAATTTTGCTCAAGAAGTAGAGCACTTTCTCCCTTCATTTTTATTTACTCACAGTGCTCATCTTGAGCGGAATCTCGATGGACATCTAGAGAGCTGGGAAGACCTGGATTTAGCTAGGATATAACTATAATATAAAGATTAAGACTCATCGTACTCTATCATCTAAGATGAAAACAGTTGTGAACTTATGCAACCTAAATCCACAGGGACACGGTGAAACAGTTCAAATAGCGAGTGCCTGACTACCTTCACACATACAGGGAATTTGATTATTTAAGCAAGCAGCAGAACAAACATACTGAGAGATCAGTCCATGCATCTCTGAAACAAAATGCAGTATCTAATGTAGCTCACATCCTAATCCAAGCGAAGAGGTATCCCAAAACCTGCAGCTCATGAAAAAATGACGAACAAGGGAAATATGGCCGATCGAGTGGAGCACAGAGAATTGAGAAATGCTGCAAATCTTGGGCTGTTGCCCAACCAAAATGAACAACATGCGAACAAGTTCAGAGAGAAACCAAAACAATAATCGTCTAGCTGCATGAAACTTGCAACTAAGCAGAAAAAACAGATAATTTGGGGCACAAAATATAGATCTCATTGCAAGCAGGCGATAGATGGAGCAGTTCAAAGTTACTGAATGACTGCAAATAAACGATCCAGCTGTTCAAAACTCTGTTTCTTGTTGGACAGGATGCACGGACTGAAGATAAAACTACCTGATCTGAATCTACCACAGACACCATCAAGATACAGGAACCTACGAACGAGAACGACAACTACAGCTATTATTCCATCAAAAAGCGCCTCAGGCGGATGACCTCCTTCCCATACTCGGCGGCGGAATGTGAACTCTGGTTCATCAACGTCCTCCTACGGTTCTTGGACGCGGTTGTTTCCATCTCCACCTCCATTGCCGCCGCGTTGCCTCATCTCGCGGTGCATAAGGTCCTTTTGCTTCGGTGGGCCCTGTGAATGAAAAAGGAAAGGGGAAAAAATAGTTAGATAGATAGAGATTACAAAATGGATCAAAAACAAGGAAGGTGAAGAAGGAGGAGGATCCTCACCCAGATGAGGATGAAGGTGAAAAGGACCACCATGACGGTCGCTATGGCAAAAGCAACCCACACCTTGACAAGTATCTTATACCTCGAGAGGCACAAGAACTGCAAGAAGTAGGAAACGGTGCACAGAGCGAAACCGGTCGGGACGAAGCAAGAGGCCACCTTGGTGAGCTGAAACACATCACGGGGACGCTTGAGGCAGAGATGGCCGATGATCGCAATGTGAAAGAAGATGACGGTGGCGAACTGAAGGCAGGTGGATGCGTAGTCGGGGGTCATCTCCCGTCTCCCAGCGGTCGGGACCGCGGAAGTTGGTTGGTGTGCCGGCGACGTGGTCAGCCCTCGGCCTGATCAGCGACATCTTCGCTGCACGCCCGCTGAGGCTGTAGGCGATGGCGACGGAGTAGCCGAGGGTGGATGCGGCGAAGGTAGAGGCGAACACAAATTTGGTCTGCCAAGAACAACAAAAAAAACAAGTAGCTTGAATCAGAAGAACGCGAGACTGGCTGGATGGGTTATAGTGTAACTTACCCTGGCCATAATGTGATTTTCCATGGCGTGATCTTGCTCTGCAGGAAGAGAACACCATAAGATTAACAGTGGTGATGCAGGAAAGCGAAACGACATCGAGATGAAAAAAAGAAAACTTTTTACCCATCGCGCGCGCGTCCGGACCCCGGAGGGAGGTGGAGCACGACGCCGGCGACGAGGAGCAGCAGCAGCGACGAGCCCAACCCTTGGACGACCCGCGCGTCGCGGCGGAAAGGACGAGAGGGAGTGGGGGTGGAGGAGGAGGCGGAGAGGGTGGAGGCGGATGAATATAAAGAGCAGCGGGTGTTTTGCTTTTTTTTGAATGAAACCTGAGAAAGTGTTTTGGCTTTCGCGGTTTCTTTCGCCCTCTGCACGACGACCACCTGGTCTCTCCCTACGACTACCCTACGACTACGAGACAGGTTAGGCTGACGAGCGGGACCCACAGCGAAGCGCAGGTTGCGTGGGAGGGACGCACCTCCCACTGACGAGCGGGACCCACACGGAGCTCTGTACCCACCCTGTCTCTGTTCGGGTGGAATACACCATACCCATGTTACTCTATACTTTTTTGCTTTTTTGAACCCTTCCTTGCGCATTATGACGGTTCCATTTGTTCACTTGATGGTCCGATTTAACCACGTCGACGCGAACGGTCAGTTGTTCTGATCGAGGCAAAGAGGAACAACTTAAGAGGTGGCAACGGGTTGGGTCGGGTAGAGCGAATCCATACCTGACTTGAGACCACATGCCCGCAAGGTCTATGGGAAAAAAAATCTCATGCTCGTGCCCATACCCGTCGAGCGTAGGTACCCCATCGGGCTTGCCTGCTATTTGATAAAAACAAAACAACGAACACACAGAAAATAGGGAAACCCTGTATTTTATTAATCACGATTCATTAACATGAATGTTTACAAATATATGAGGGCTCCCGCAGGAGTTCGTCTTTTGCCTTCGCGAGGAATACTTAATAGAAAGGTATGCTGACTAGAGATTGCGTGTAGTCTGCTGATTCCCGGCGCCTAGCAATGAGGCGGCCGGTTAATTACATCTACAGGAGAGAGCCTATGGAACACCTCCAATTAAGCTGCGCTTGTGATCGTCGTCTTCAAAATTGATTGCTCGCCGAAGGTTGAAGTTGGTGCAGAGATTTAATGATAACTGTGATATAGGTGGCTTTGTTTCGCCGAAACCTGGTCACAATATATTATCACCATGTCCATACATGAGTCAGGTATCATAACAAAGGGGATGACTTTTGCCTCGTCGGTGCCCATTTATATATGCCAGCCTTTATTAGATGTGGATATATCGTTACTTTTGCCTCATTGGAACCTAGTAACATGTATCCGTTCCTATCTGTTTGGACATGTTAATAATATCATGACACCGGCCTCATAAATACTCGGCCATAATTTTTAACTTACAAAGATCACGAATAGCTCCCATGTGTGTGCATGGTATCAAAATATATTTTGTAAAACATCGGTTAGATTGTCCAATCACCAATGAAAGTTGGACATATCCAGCGCCGTTGTTATCGGTATCATAGTAACAAATAGATGATCCAATCTCCAATGAGGGCCGGACATCTAGTTTTGAGCATAGAAAATATATCAAATAGTGTTCAGATAATCCGATCGCCAATGAGGACCAAACCAGCCTTATACCATCGATTGTATAAATGGAGTTTGATGATAACCGTGCTTCGGCTCTCATTGATCTGGCTTTAATCATCGAGATCAAGATAGATTAAAAACATGCAGATGTTGCGATCGCCAATAAGGACCGAACATCTATTGTGTTTAATCTAGAAAATTAATATTTATTCAATGTGCTCACCATCCAGCGCAAATATCCTGAATGGCGGTATGTTGTCGATAAATGACTCGACTTGATGAAGGACGCCGGCTGCGGTGTTTAATTCTCTCCGTAGCGGCGCCGGTTTGCTATCACCGGGCGACTTCAATCTCCTCTCCTGATTTTCCTAATCTACTAAGAAGAATGGGATGAATGAAAATGGGCAGATGGGTGTCTCCTGTGGCGTCCTCGGCGTCCCCCGCTCTAGATAGGTTCTGCTTCTTATATAGGCAGCGGCGACGGAAACGGCCTCCGAATTTCCAGCGCCCCGTGCTAATCTTCGTGATAAGCCGACGCAGAGACGAGCCAATCCGTCGACGTGTACTGCAGTCTGGAGATAATTATGTGATTAACATGTCTAATGACAGTGGGCCCCATATGTTTAATCGCCACAGCCAATGACCATGCATGCTCACGTAATAACGATAGCACTTGCTTATTTCTTTTGTTTTAATAGTTCCAATCTTTTGAATCGTATATCGGATTTAAAATCCATTTGAACCATCACTTTCTATTCAAATTATACAACAAAACGAGTCCAATATCGAATATATTCGGACACCGTGACATTTAAAATTTCTGGACCCACATGTCATATAGATACGTCTCGTATATATTCAGTAAAATTATGCTATAAATAATATTCTCATATAAAATTAAATGCCCAATAATTTATTATTTCTTCTATGAATTTTTAGCACAAAAATTCATCAAACACCTGCGCCACCACCGCCATCGTACACTGCCGCATGCGCCCTTGGCCCCGTGCGTCGCTGTGTCACCACCCGCCGCCTGCTCATGTGCGCCGTCGCGTCGCCATCCACCGCTGTGCCGCCAGTCACCGTCTGCGCCCGTCCGCTGCCAGCTGCCGTGCGCAGTGGCGCCGCGAGCCTCCGCCAGCCGCTGCCTGCGTCCTTGTGGCCAGGCACTACCACGTCGCGCCGGCACCGCCGCTGCGCCGTGGGGATTGGGGTACAAGAGGGGAGTGGGGAATTAGGTTAGGATTTTATTAGCTGACTATATATGTTGTGTCTCTAGTTAGTGGGCCAAATGGTTTAAGAGAAAAGGGTACGAGGAACAAGAGATGAGCTAAAATTAGCTAATACATATGTATCGAATCAGGCATGGGTTACACTTGAGCAAAAAACAATACCCGGTTGCTGTCTGTCACGTTCTCGGGTATGCCCACGGGCAAAATATAACACCCATGCCCATGCTCATCAGGCCGGGTAAATTGCCATCCATAGGTTCCTTATCTTGTCACCGAATTACAAAATCATCTCTTAACCAAAAAACGGGGTACATGTGATCCCTCAACTTATAAAACTAGGTCACTCTGGGTCCTTATTGGTATTGACCTCAGTTTTGTCCGATGTGGTGGCTGAATGAACGTGGGAACCCACGTGTCAGGGTGACCATGTCATCACCCCCCCTCTCTCTACCTTTCTTCTCTCCCTTGCTCCACTCTCTCGCTTTTCTCCTTGTTTCGGCGGGCCAGCCAGCGGTGCGAGGCGGGAAAGAAGAAGGTCCGGCAGCCGACAACGACGACGGTGACGCAAGAGAAGAGGAGCCGAGGCAGGGAAGCACAACCTGGAGCTCTAGGTCGACGTGCTTCTTGGCGTTGAGCATCGCCGATAGGAGCTGCTCGAACCGGTCCAGGAACACCGCCCACTCCTCACGCGCTCAACACCTTGAACGACATGCTTTTTCGCACGACACCACATCCGGCGGCACCTTGATCCGCCATAGAGAAGCTCACACTCTTGGCGATGCCATTGCCGCGGAGGAGGAGGAGGTGCGATGGGAGCCTAGCAGTGGTGACGGGGACGTCGCCCATGCTGAACTGGGTACTCTCGTCGTCGGAGTCATTGTAGTGGTGATTCTTGCGAGGGGATGTGCCGGCGGCGGTGGTGGAAGAGGACTCGTAGGCGTTCTTGTAGAGGGACTCGAGCGCCCTGAGCCCCTCCTCCATCGCCAAGAACTCGTGGGTCATCATGTCACTGATGTCGGCGATGGCTGCTCCGAGCATAGCAACGTGGCATCCCGAAACGGGTCGAGCGCCACCGACGTACTGCAGCTCGACGCCAGAGAATGGCAACGACGACTGCAGGCCGTGCAGCCGACGTGCTACCTCCGCACCTCGTGCCGGCCTGCTCCGCGCCTGCGCTCACCGCCAAGAAGCGCGTCGGCCTGAAGCCCACCAGGCCATGCTCTCCTATCTCGGCTCCTCTTCTCCCACGTCATCGTCGCTGCCGCTGGACCTCCTTCTCTACCGCCTTTTCCCGCCAGCCCGCCGGCCCAGACGAGGAGAAAAATGAGAGAGTGGAGGAAGGGAGAGGAGAGGGTAGAGATAAAGGGGGTGATGACTTGGTCATCCTGACATGTGGAGCGCCTATGTATGTCCCACACTGATTCAGGCACCACGTCAGATAAAACCGGGGTCAATACCATCTAAGGATCTAGAGTGACCCGGTTTATAAATTGAGGATGCTATATATCTGATTTTTCAGTCGAGAGATGATTTTGTAATTCGGTGACAAGATGAGAGACCTATTATGTACATTTTCTAGACAAAGATCCTTCTCTCCCTCCACTTCTCTTTCCCTCTGGGCCAACCCGAGCCCATCCCTTGCGCTCGGCCCAGATCCCAGCCAGGCCGACGCCCTCCCCCTTCTCTCTTCCCTTTCTAGCTGCGCCAGCCCAATTAAGAGCACGTTGCCCGACCGGGACGCTGCTGGTATGCGAATCTTGTGTCTCTGCTACCAGTGCCCTGCCTCAAGACCTCGTTACTACGCTCGCCAGTTGCCCAGTTCGTAGAAACTAGAAAGACTTTCTTGCTTGTTAATGGGTAGAGAGGGTAGTCATCGTACATATGGCTATGTTCACTGCATGATTGGTTGATTGCTAGTAATTGATTTGTAGGTCAGTCCTATGGGAATATCACTGAGTACTGAGGGTGTGTTTAGTTCACGTTAAAATTGGAAGTTTTGTTGAAATTGGAATGATATAACGGAAAAGTTGAAAGTTTATGTGTGTGTTTTGATGTGATGGAAAAGTTGAAAGTTTGAAGAAATAGTTTGGAACTAAACATGGCCTGAGTAGCAAAAGCTCATATTTGTACCATATGACTTTCAGTAGAATCAATCTGACTTATCGTTCATGTTTTTACTGTATGACGTTCTAGGATCCTTCGAGTTTCTATTTTTCTACGCAAATAATTTGATCTTTTCTGCATGAATCTGTTGTCGCACAGAACAACTATAATAGTATAATTGAGATACAATAGAGTGAAATATCACAAAATGAACAAGGTAAACTAAGAAATCAAAAATCAACTAATCCATCAGCATCGCAAAGTATATAGGATAATAGGATACTGACATCAGTGGAAAGCAGAATGTATCAGTTTCAGAAAGACCTGAGTTCCTCCGTGTTCAGGCTTCTGAATGCTAAACCAATCTTCCTTGGCCATACCGTGCTAAAAAATGATTCACTTGGCCATACCAATTTGCGCCGTATTACACCAATATCAAGTTATCAACTATAGTTGTGGTAAAGAAGAGTAAAATGTCACAAAATGAACAAGGTAAACTACGAAACCAAAGTCAGCTAATCCATCAGCGTCGCTGGGGAATTTGAATGACGCATGCAGAATTGAGTCCACCAGTCTAGAGTAACCGACATAAACAACACTTTGGATGTATTCATAGTTTAATAAATTATCTACGAACTATATACATAACATACATATTGAACCCTTAAGGTCAGTTTGTCTAGTAGGAGGTTTTGCTGTCTAACCGTGTAAACATCAGGCCTATGCGATGCAGCTAAACTATTATCAAGCTACAAGTGATGATCCTCCAGACTTAAAAGTGTACACTGTTCTGTAACTACATGACACATTTGGTACGACAATGCAACGAAACCTCTTCTGCAGTGAAAAAATAATCACGGGGTCCTGATAATTTTAATTGCTTCCCCTCCACTTCTCATGTCACTCATTAAAGCAATTTGATGCAGAAGTTGGGCAATCCTCTGCAAAAGGCAAAACAAGGATCTAATGAGAGAACATCAATGCATAAACTGTCTTGTGAATATTTACTGTTGCTCAATGCACGCCTGAACATAATACTACGTAGCTTACATGACACAAGACTAACATCTATATATATGAGTACAAAGATATACTACTTTTCTCCAATTTAGACAAGATTTTTTGTGTTTTGAACATAATTTCCCCATGTAAAAACATTGCCTCATAAGACGATGACTAAAAAATTGTTGAGAACTAATGCATATTGTAATAATTAGAAATGCAAAACACTAAAGGGCAAAGACAAATTAGAGCAAGAAACTATCCAATTTATATTTTTAGAATTCAAGTACAATGTGCAGCATCCAATTTCTTTCACTCAACCTAATGCATGAAAAGTATAACAAATTGATGGATTTTCAATTCAAGGCTACTTGACAATGGTACACCATCAGTACCTACACTAACAAAGAGTAGCCAATTAACATTCTCCAACCTCAAGAAACAGTATCAGTATGTGAAAAGAACATCAAGAGGATACAACATGTTATGGCGAAACTATCAAAAGACACTAATTTAAAGAACATCAAGAGGATACGACAAGTGAAAAGAACATCATTGATGGGTTTCCTAACACTCTAATGGTGAAACTATCAAAAGACACTGCTGGTACTACTGCTACAGCATGACAGCAGTAAAACAAAACATTTCCATAATATCTCAAATCTTCTCTATGATCACCACAAAGAGTTATAACTCATTCACTGAACTGTATACTGAAATTCCAGTGATACATGTAACTAAACAGAATAGCAAGTAGCAACTGTACAAATGTTGCCAATTACTGATCGTATTCCCTAAAAAGTTGAAACCTTAACTATAGGAAAACCAAATATTTAACCCTGTTCTCATTCTGTATGTTCCGAATCAACCTCTGCGATGATAGAACATGATACTCGCTTACTGAACCGTATACCCAAATTCCAGTGATACAACATGTAACTGTACAAATTTTGCCAATTACAGATCGTATTCCCTAAAAAATGATCATCTTAACTTCAGAAAAAAAAATCAATTTCTTGATGACCACAGTAACAAGCTCGAATTATCACATCGTTGTTTAACTTCTAAAGTTCCGATAGATATTGCGCACGGATCATACTTGGAAGATGTAGTTGAATATCTACAAGACATCTAAAACCCACATGTTCCTCGCCTCATCACCCAATTCTCTAGCGTAATTGTTCATGATACCAGAATACCGACGATGAAATTAAACCAGAAAACCTATAGAATTATATAGAGATTCAAACCTTATCCTTCTCCTGCGAGAGCAGCACGAGCAGGTCCCTCTCCCTCCTGTCCCGCCGGCGCGCGTAGAGCAGCGCTCCCACCACAACGGCCGCGCCCGCCGCCGACCACACGGCGGGCCTCACCGCGGGGCACCCGCACGTCCCGTGCACCATCAGCCCCTCCCGCACGGCCCCGACCCCGGCCGCCCACGCTCGCCTCGCCGCCGCGCGGCACCTCCCCCACCCCCACAGCCACTCCCCATCACCAAATTCATCATCATCATCATCATCATCCTCCTCGCCGTCGTCTTCCTCCCCTTCCTTCGCCGCAGCCTCCTCCGCCTCCCCCTCGACGCCGAGCCCCTCGTGGAGGCGCGGGGGGAAGACGTCGCAGTCGTCGAGGCCGCCGTCGTCCACGGCGGCAGCGCCCACGGCGACGACGGTGGCGGTGGGCGTCACGAGCTCCCAGGCGTCGGTGACGGCGGGGCCAGGCGGGGAGGAAGACGGCATCGAGCCGAGGGATGACGAGGAGAGCGAGAGGGTCAGCGTCTTGGGCTTGAGGAGGAGGTGCGGGTTAGGGGAGGGGAGGAGCAGCGGGTGGAGCGCCGAGTACGGCGATGCCGGCGCGGAGAACGGCGGGGACTGCGGCGCCGACGGCGGCGGCGGCAGCGCTGGCCTCTCGTCCATGGCTGCGGTTGCCGCGGCTCACCGGCGGATTCCGCTTCGATTTGCAGATGGTTTGTTTGGATCTGGATGATCTTTCATGTGGCGCTCGAGATCGATGACGACTGCTGCTGGTTTTCACTCCACCTGTACTGAATGGTCCGAGTTGAAAGGACAGCGATGTGTTTAATCCCAATTCAATTGAAATCTCTAGCATGCATTCAAATCTTATACATATTTCACACGAATTGCAGATTATTAAGAAAGAATTTGATAATTTTTTGAATAAGACGAGTGATCAAACGTTGTAAGAAAAACTTAAAATCCCTTATATTATGGGACGGAGGGAGTATTAATTTGGAATTTCAGATTAATTTGGTTTGTGTTTACATTTAGTCGCGACTAAAATCTTTTTTTTAAGCGTGTTTTCTCGATATCGATATTTTGAGTCTGTTTGACACAGCTCTAGCTCCACCCCTTCTGGAGTTTCCACCTCCACAGCTCAACCAAAACTGGATGGAAGTGGAGCTGGGTAGAGGAAGTGGACCCTGGATGAACTGGATGGAAGTGGACCCTGGGGTACCAAACAAGCCCTTTATTTCAACAAATCTACTAGTAGTACAACTTTCAGGTTAAAGTTTGAATCTAATTTAGTTGAGGTGGGCCATCAATTTTGCTTATAATCAAAATTTAAACTTGATTTGGTTGGGGTGCGCCAGGCCCGGGCGGTAGTGCAACGCCTGGGCGACACGCGAGGGCCCCAGTGGCAAGCCACTGTGGTGGACCCTCCCCCACAAAAAATAAATTTAATATCGAAGTGAACACATGGCCCACATATCAGATATTAAACTGATAAGAACAGATACTACACTTGATCTTAGCCAAAAGGCCGAGAAAGGTATGCTTTGTGACGGAGCCCTGCGACTCATTTTATAGCTCGCGCGACCGCCTCATCGAGCTGAACAAGCGAGGTGGTACTAAACCATCGGGAGGAGCAAAGCAAACGTGGCAACAACGCTCGTACTGTAAGCAGTTTCCCACCAATTGGGCCTCGAAAGTTTCCGTGTGGCCCATCGTCCCCGGCGCGGCCGCGGCCCAACTCCTTCGCGTGGAGGCGGCGACCGCTTCAGCCTCAAAGTCTCGAACCCCTCCGCCGCCGCCGCCTGGCTGCTCGGCCGCTCCTCCGCTTGCTCTCCCTTGCTTCCGAGGGCTCCGCCGCACGGGGTCGTCGCGGCTAGAGGGTGGGCTCGCCGTCGAGGAAGGCGGGGGTGTCTGGCTCATCGAGAACAGTGCCGAGGGGAATCCGGGTTGCGGGGGCGATGGCCATGGCCGCGGCGGAGGCGCGGGTGCGGCAGGAGAAGGTGAAGAAGTTCGAGGACTTCGTCGACCGGAGACTGAAGCCGGACCTTGTGAACACCATCGCGCAGCGGGACAAGGTGTTCCAGCAGCAGAAGACCTTGTAAGATTCGCTTCCCGTAGAATCTTGTATGTAAAACCTCAATGATTATTGTGATTCCGGGTTACCGTGTTGATGCGATGCTGATTATTATGGCCGTTGATTTCGGTTTTTGGATGGTCTCAGCTTGGACTTGAAAAGGAACATCGAAAATTTGGAGAAGAATGGAGTCACCAGTATGCGATCCATGGTCAATCTTGGCTCTGAGGTGTACGCCCAGGCAGAAGTGTAAACCCTCGTCCTCCCTTTACATCTTCAGTTCTGGATAAGACTCAACGAGTTTTGATATAACTTCACTGATGAATTGAGTCACCATGTGTTAACAATATACACTGACGCGGTATATCGGAACAGCTGGATACTACATTATTCAAGTTAAATTTTCTGGAAGTGCACATGCAGTTGATAGACCATTGGCAATGGGATAATGTGGTGTTTCTACATGACTGTGTCGTTTCCATCTAAATAGTGGAAATAGGGTGACAATCCTGGTTGGAAAAATAGTATTAGCATATGGAACATAGTATAACAAACTTATTGATTTTTATTTTTACTGGTTATTCTGATAAAAAAAATATTCTTGGTTATTGACACACTACATAACAAGTAGACTTGGAGTTTGTTCATGTTGATATTTCAAGGTCTTTAGCCTAGCTCTGGAGAGTTTGGATAGTTACAGAAAATCAGTATGAAGTGCAGAAAAACTTACCCTTCTGTAACATGAGTGATATATCCGTGATATATCCTCTTTATTGTTCTTGATCTTTCCAGATTTACCTTTGGTTCCTTACTGTGTACCTGTGGTGACTTCTGCAGGCCAGATACAAGACACATTTTTGTGGATATTGGTCTAGGTTTCCATGTGGAATTTACTTGGCAGGAAGCTTTGCAGTTTATATCTGTAAGAGAATCAAGGTTGGCAAGGTAACTCAATTCTTAGAATTGGCTATGAAGATCATGTTTTTTTTTGTGTCAAAGAAGTTGAGGAATAGGAATCTTGATGGTTGAGGGAAGTTTTGATGTGCTTTATGCTTCTTTTAACACAGTATCCACAATTAGCATATATTTCATATGTCCTGTTTTGTTATTGTTGAAAAGGTGGTTTGAGTTTTTTTTCCCCTCATAATGTTATTTATAGTTGAAAATGTGGGTTTTGTTTTTTCTTCTTCTCAAGAGAGGACATATAAACTCAGGAACATATTATATTCTTGAGTAGGTTTTTTATAAAACCCTGGGTATCTATATGTATCCTTTTGGAGGTTGACGTTTACCCAGGCATCAAGGACGAAAGGAATGTATTTATTTGACATTTTAGTGTGCTGATCCTGGGTGCTATTGGTGTGCATCAGATATTCTGCGCGCACTCTCCAAGTCTCCATTGATAAGTTCAGAAAATTTTACTAAAATGACCTATTTTCACTGTATCATTTCTTAGCATTCTAAACTGCTACTCTTCACACTTCACTGATTCAGCCAATAGATACCTACTCTGTATTTTCTTAGATGTGTCAATTCTCAGATGAGTTTGTTCCTACTGCTGTTTCAATGATGTTATGCTAACTTGGATCCAATTATGCTACTCTGGAAGCCTTCCTTGTCAATTGCTGATTTTGCAGTATACTATGTTTGACCGTAGATATATAGGCCTCTTGTGTGTGTGTGTGTGTGCCTGTGTGGGTATATAGGTAGACAGGCTGGGTCTTGCTCATGTATAGTGGCAACCACTGTTGATGTTGCATGCTCCCTCCGTCCCCAAAAAATCCAACTTCTGCCTATGTCTAGGTTCGTAGCTAGAAGTTGTTGTTTTTTTGACGGAGGTGTAGGATATAGTTGACTCAGTCTGCGCTGGATACTTGGATCTAATAATACTGAAGCATCAACATCAATATGATATGTATTCAAAGATCATAGTCATAGTGTGTACTGTATAGTGGCAAACTTTTTTTGTTGCCTTTATATCATCTAATATACCGAACCCCATATTTTCCGGGACAAAAACTATTACAGTTGAAGATTAGCAGACCTTAGCAATTAATCATATTGCTTTGTGCCTTGCTGCTTTGATGTGTCAACTTCCCGTTCATAAAACACAGGTTTTCAATTTGACAGATACTATGTTACAGGTTTTCAATTTGACAGATACTATGTTTTGTTTAGGATCGACTGCGATATTGTCACTGCAGCATATTGTCGTTAGTCCCGATTTCTTTTGAATGTGATCTGGGCTTCTTTCCTATTTCTCTAATTTTCCTTTTTGGGTTTCCTGTGGCTACATTTGTTTGTATGTCAATATGTTGGTGCTGTAATTTTCCCTTTTATATTTACGCTTTTGTTTTATTTGATGCCTGACTCCCTGTAGTAAAATTCACATACTAATCCTGTATATTTCCATGTTTGCAGACAGATAGATGAGTACACTCATCTCATCGCAAGCATAAAAGCGCAGATCAAGTTGGTATGTAAAAAAACTAAACTAGTTGCTCACTATATAGGTGATACTTGGCAGTACTCTGGATTATAGCTAACCTATATGCAATTACCCGTGCAGGTATGTGAAGGTATCCGCGAACTACTCGAGCTACCAGCAGAGTAAAGGTGAAAGTTGGCAATGCAATCGTATGGGGGTGCTTGGTAGAATGACTTGTGCTTTTGCTTTTCTCACGAAGGCATGGTCGCCCATCTTCGAACATGAAAGATTTTACATGTACTGTTGTGCAAAAGATGGTTTCATACACTCATCCCTGTAATAACATTCATCTAATCAGATTAACTACAGTAGAATTTCGCTATGTGAAATCAACGCAAACACTGTGAAAACTTGTTGGTTGATGCAACTTCTGATCTTCCCTAGATTCCCAAGTCATAGTGTACATGGCATGCCTTGGAAGCTCATGGCATGTTCCATTTTGTCATTAGATTAGAACAATGAAAGGAAGTTAGGAACATGCCATTTTGCATATAGATGTGTCAGTCAAGACAGCAGAGCAAGGAAAGTATATATTGGGCTATTGGCACTTCATCTGGTAAGGCATAAAGCTTTTGCCTTTGCCGCGAAGCTGCCTTATTGTCTTTTCCACTTTCCACTTGGGCCTTTCAAGGAATCAAACAAAACTTGCCACCTTAGCTTTTGTTCCCTTGGCTCCATCATACTTAATTTTGCTCTCTTACATTATCAAGTGATTAGGCCCGAAGGTTTCGAAGCTTTTGTTCCTTCCTGCTCGGCCTTGTTTGACCCTCTTTTCTCTGTATTGATGCAACTCAATATACCTGGGTTACTGTAGTTGTTGTATACCTCTTCCATCCTAAAATAAACAAACCTCATACGTGATGTGACACATACTAATATTACGAATCTGGACATGTGTATGTCTAGATTCGTAGTAATAGAATGTATTACATCACGTATAATGTTGGTTTATTTTGGGACGGAGAGAGTACAGGGAACACATAGCAACAAGGTTTCAGAGTTTTTTGTGGAGCAAAACACCGATTGAGATCCTATGCTCAAAGTCAAATCACTTTGAGTCACTGAACATGTCAGTGACTCTAAAAACACATTACTTAAGTTAGAGGATAATTCGTGAAACACGTACTATCGTAATAATTTGATCTGAGCCTTGATCATGACTCGGACGATTACGACATAATGTGTCCTAATGCACCTTATTGGTATCCTCCTCTACAGTACAGTTTATACGCTTAGGGCATGTATAAAGGTAGAGCTTAGAATGGTCTCTTTGTTAATACATATCACTTAGAGACTATTCTCCTACAATAGTTAAGATAACAAAAACTCTTAACCATTAATGCACCAAAATATTTTTTTTAGTACCATTCTTTCCTTTTCTCCACCTCCATGCAACAAAATTTCCTTTAATAAACGTTAAGAGTCGACTCTGACCCGTTGTCATGCGTAGCAACCATGTTTCCCTTTACTCCACTCTCTCTCTTCCACGTCATCAATTTTACTTACATGGAAACGAAGAGAGACCGTTATTACACACCGTTGTACATGCCCTTAGGGTGAGTTTGAGGAGAAGGTGATTGAGGAGAATACAGTTTATGCACTTAGGGTGAGTTTGAGGAAAAGGTGATTGAGGAGATTGGGAAGTTTATGCACTTAGGGTGAGTTTGAGGAGAAGGTGATCGAGGAGATTGGGAAGATACGCAAAACGAGGTGAGCCATTAGCTCATGATTAATTGAGTATTAATTATTTTAAATTTTAAAAATAGATTAATATGATTTTTTAAAGCAAATTTTCTATAGGAAATTTTTGTAAAAAACACACCGTTTAGTAGTTTGGAAAGCGTGCGCGCGGAAAATGAGTTGTTATCTCCCTCAATGTTACCCGAACGAACGTAGCCTTAGGGTGTGTTTGAGGAGAAGGGGATTGGGGAGATTGGGAAGATACGTAAAACGAGATGAGTCATTAGCATATGATTAATTGAGTATTAACTATTTTAAACTTCAAAAATGGATTAATATGATTTTTTAAAGCAACTTTTTTATAGAAATTTTTTTTTGTAAAAAACACACCGTTTATTAGTTTGAGAAGCGTGCGTGCAGAAAACGAGATGCTTTTCTCCCTCAATCCCCCAGATCGCCCAGGAACGAACGAAGCCTTAGAGTCGCTGACATATATGCTCATGAGTTTCCCATGAGAAAGTGGATCCTACATGTTAGGCGTGATAGTATGTCACTGCGAAGGATCTCGTTTCAACAAAATTGAGTTTCGCTTGTCCTCCTATAATTTGCATTCGAAAATGGTCTTAATGGTGATGGATAGTATTTGTTTCTTCCTACTTTGTCAACCAATAAACCAAATGGCAATAGTACAAACATGAATCACAATCTCACATTGTCATTAGTAGGTTGACAAAACGAACATATAACTCATTGTCAATGCACTATTATCAACTTCAAATCTTCAATGGAACCAACGACAAGAGGAATTTGCAGAAGCACAACCCAAGAAAAATCATATGCAAGCGTGCCCGTGGAAGCTTCACTGTGAGTTCCCAACTCCCCCATCTCATTTTCCGCGCGCACGCTTTTCAAACGGCTAAACGGTGTGTTTTTTTTGTAAAAAGTTTATATACGAAAGTTGCTTAAAAAAATTATATTGATCCATTTTTGAAAAAAAAATTAGCAAATAATTAATTAATCACGTGCTAATGGACTGCTTCGTTTTCCGTACCGGAGGGATGGGTTTCCAGGGGGCCCCACATGTCATCCTAACTGACATAAACTACCTCCACTTGGTGGGACCCGCATGTCATCCTAACAAACCTAAACTACCTCAACTTGGTGGGCCCCAAATGTCAGTACCACATGTGAACTGTCGGTAGTCAGACCCTCCCCCTCGCCTCGCGAGCTCGCGGCGTCGCCGTCTCCCTTCACAAAAAACCCACCTCGATCTCTGCTCCAAGAAACTTCTCTTCCTCCTCGACCTCCTCCTCCTCCCACGCCATTGCCGCTCTCCAAGATCTCGCCTCTGCTCACTGGAACCAACTCGGAGGGCGGCCACGGGAGCCTCGCATTGGGCGACGGGGTTTGGTGGAGCTCGAGCCGTTGCGTTGGATCTGACCGGGGAGGAACGTCGCGTTTGGCGGCGGAGGCGGCGAGTCCAAGAAGTGAGAGAGGGTGGTGTGGCGGCGGCGAGGATGGCGCGGGGGGGAGGAGGGGGAGGAGGGGTGGTGCGGTTGCCGCCGATGAACGCGCTGGAGATCCTGCGGGAGACGGTGCGGGTGCTGCGGGCGGACCCGCACGCGTTCACGTCGGTGCTCTTCTTCCTGCTCTGCCCGGCGTCGGGGTGCCTCCTGCTGTCCGCCGCCGCGCTGGAGGGCGCCGCCGTGCTCCCGCTCGCGCGGAGGCTGCTCGCCGCTGCGGCGGCGTCGGGGCTCCCGCTCACGCATTTCGTCAGGCAGCTGGCGCACCACCTCGCCGCCACCCTCGTCGCGTCCGTCGTGTCGTTCCCGGCGACGTTCACGCTCCTCCTCGCCGCCCGCGCCGCCGCCGCGTACGCGGTCGCGGCCGTCTACGCGGGCAAGCCGCTCCTCGCCGGCGCGGAGCTCTCCCTCCTCGCGCGCCGCGCGTGGCCGCGCCTCGCCGCCACGTACGCGCTCGCGTGCGCCGCCGTCATCGCCTGCCTCTCCTCCTTCCTCGCTCTCCTCGTCACCGCGTGTTCCACGCTCAAGTTCATGCTCTACCCGCCCGACATCGTCGTCTGCGCCGGCCTCCTCACCGTTCTTGCCTTCTCCGTGGCGTACGCGCACACCATCATAGTGTGCAACCTCGGCGGTGTCATCGCCGTTCTTGAGGACATCGCCGGAGTCAGCGCGCTGCGCCGGTCAGTGCAGCTGATGCGCGGGCAGACGCATGTCGGCTTGCTCATCTTTCTTGGATCCACCATTGGCCTCGCCTTCGTGGAGGGGCTGTTTGAGCACAGGGTGAAGACACTGAGCTATGGTGATGGCTCATCAAGGCTCTGGGAGGGGCCATTGCTTGTCCTCATGTACTCCTTCGTGATGCTCATCGACTCGATGATGAGTGTCGTGTTCTACTTCACTTGCCGATCATCGAGCATGGAGATCTTGGATGATGAGGGCGGCTCGATTGAGGAGCTTGAGATGATGGTGGGTAGCAATTCAGTCATCAGGTGATGAAGAATTTCTCAGAGTCATAGGTATATCTGCTCATACTGGGGAATAAGTGAGGTGGGCAGTGTCCGCTTTCGGCGAAGAATGACTGGTGGTGGATCGCACGCCATGACTATACAATGCATTGTGTTTGAATGGTTGATTTTGATGGTGAAAGAACTTTGCAAGCATTTGGATTCCCCACTCCTCATGCTATGGCGGATTCACGAGAGAAGACGGGAAGGAGAATAGGAGATCCATGATGGGTTGTGTTCTTAACCAATCCCAAGTTTTTGGCAGTGATTGGAGGCTGGTAACTTGTGTAGCATTCATTTGAAATGATGTAACTAGTATACCAATTCAATTCTTGTGGAATTTTGTACTACTCTTCAACAGCCTTTTGGTTATACTGAATGAAGCATTGTGTCACTCTGGAAATACTAAAGATTCTAACAGATGATTCTTGATGTGTCATTAAATCCAAATTCATCTTCCAATTACTTCAAAATTATGTTCTGGATGATGTTCGTTGGCAATCTCATCAGAAGGTACTGTCAACCCCATCATATTATATTTGCAATTTGAGTGTCAAACTAATTTACTTGCATTCACTTTACTTCAGAAGTTTGGTAGATCTGCATTTCAGATCACTGCTATATTCAAATCACCTACTCACAAGAAAAAGTATTTACAATGGTGATATCTATATGATGCATGGTGCATGGATGGTTTCCTTTTCCTTTCACTGCAGCAGACAATAATTGTCCATTGACAAGCAATCTATTGATAATAGACCATAGTAATCTTTGTTGATTCTGGACTACTCTTTCCATGAATTATTAGTGTTGCTTGTGCTGGGAAAATACTGTCTCAATTCTAAAGCTTAGAGTTTTGCATATGAAGCATCATTTGGATTATTAGAATTTTGCATATGGATTCTTTAAGCAGGATGCTTTATCGATGCAGAACTTGAATCTGATAACCCTTGCTTTTTATATGACAAATGAATACTATTCCTACCTTAGATCATATGAGCAGGTATGTTGACTTCCATTTAGTGTTGGCCTTGCATCAACCCCAAGATGTAGCTTGTAATATTCAATGAACCACCCGAGTATTTGCCTTCTCAAGTTTCAGCAAAGAACCGGCTGAAGCAAAAGATTTGAAGTCGTTTTGTGTCTGGCACCGACAGTTACACTGCCTTCCTTTTTTTTCTAAGGGAAAAATTTTAACAGAATACTAGCTAACAAAAGATCCACAAGAAGATAATTGAATTTATTTCACTGAAAATGAAAAGGCAATATTCATTATTCATGTCAAAACATTTTTGTTCTGTTTTCCTTAAAAAAAATGGGTACTTAATTTGAGCAACCATTACACCGAGAGCGTGTCAGGTAGTAAGACACACACAATTTAACCATTGCAGAAGCTGGAGAACAGCAGAACCGAATCAACTTATAGCCTTTTATCATGTACAGAGGGACGTTCTACAATAATACATGTTAGATATTTAGTCTCAGATCTGGTTGTGACACATTTGACTTACTGTGTATGTACGGCTTAATCAAAGTACTTAGGGAGGCTATTAGATGCTCTGTCCATCGGATAATATAAGGGATTTTGGGTAGATGTGACACATTCTAGGAGTCACAAGTCACATCTACCCAAAATCCCTTCATATTATCGGACGTAAGGATTACTACTAACAAAACGTTGCTAAATGTGTTTCAGATAGCGTTTTCAGTTGTCTACTGCGGTATATGGCAAGGATGTGTTTCAGATTTCCTTCTGAATCTTTTAGTTGTCAACTGCAGTATGAATGCCAATGATGCCATTGTTTTCTTCATAAATACAGTAACACGGTAAGAGCTGACAACTACCAAAGGCAAGTAGGCATTAACCCAGGAGGCTGAAGATATATCAACCTCTGATTGATTCCATTGTCATCTGAGAGCAAAATTACAACCATTTTGGATGCACCACGAATGAATCAACTCTCTTTCCCTACCTAACAATTCAGAGTTCACCAAAAACATCCAACCAATTCAGAATTCACGCAGCATCCAACCATCTCTGAGACAAGATTTGAAACTATGGAGGACCAGAAACCGATGGAAAACGAGACAATCTACACGGACCATTTACAATTTTTCATTCATCTGAAAGAAGCTGAGGATGGAATTGATTTGGAGTCAAGACAACCTGTTCTTCGGCACGAGGATGCCAGATGAAGCCACACTTTGATCAGAACTGAGGATGATGCTTGCCCAGTTCGAAGATCGATGAACTATCCGCGATGGGATGCGATCACTGTCTTCGCCTCCTGATGCTTCATACCCGTCGCTGGTGGATCTTGACAGCTCAATCCCTTGCTGTGGAGTGCTTCCTGGGGCTGTAAGAGTTGTCAGCTGCAGGTCTTCAGCTGCAGATGAGGAGACAGCCGAGACTCGGTACAGATGAAGATCAGGGGAGTCCAAGCTGCTGTCTGGTGATGAACCACCACCATTAGCAGAGGATGCAGCTCTACTTGGATGAAAAGCGCTTCGCGCCTCAAGCTGCAATGGTGCTAAACTGGATAATGTTTCAGGAACCAACTCACTGCCATGACTATCAAGAGCATCTGCGGAAATCTTGGCAACAGGTTTAAGAGAGAAATCATTGTGAGGTCTTGCTCTTCTGCTTGTTCTCCTCTTGTTATCAGGGCCTAGATCAATCCTACTGCTGCTTGTGCCTCCATAGCTACTGTCCGTTTCATGGCCAACTGCATACTCATCTTTTCTGATGGGCAGTAGAACTTTGGACTTCTTTCGTGCCTCTGCAGCAACTCTTGAAACTTCCTCCGCGTTAAGACGAGCGAGTGCCCATGGGCTAATTTTTATACCACCTGAACCCTTCTTCCTCCTTACTTCATCTTCTTTCCTCTTGGAAGTAGAATTATGCGATGAACCAGCCTCTGACGGAATAACATCGAACTGAAAAGAAGTTGAGTAGCACAAGATCAGCTAGTGGCAAATGCCAAATCGAAAAAAAAAAAGCCATACAGTAGTATCTTTTATGATCATGTATACGACTCATGATGAAACATAAATATGCATTTGTTGTAATATAGGACTGCAATTTTACAAACATAAGAGGAAGTTCCAAAGACGACAAGTCTAATATAGACTAAAAATTAGCAAGGCTAGCTAAACAATCAAATCACTTAACTTCAATTCGCATCAGCACATCGCACAGCTACAAAGGCTAGCAGTAAGATTTTTCTGTACAGACATACCGTCACTTCGAAAGGTATGCAGCCATTTATCATTTATCATAAGATTCTTCAAGGTTGTTACCTGATCTTCAAGAAATAATCTTGGAGGAGTACACCATGAACCACGACGTCGTCCACCAAAGGAACTTGTACTGCTAAGTCCAGTGTAGGAGCTTACACGAGACATCTGTGGACTCTGCTGCCCACCAACCTCTTCTTGTTCTTGCTCTCTTATGGCGATGATGTAGTCATATGTACTAATTCCCTGTATGAAGTTGAGAACATGATGGTTAGATTCAACATCGCATCACCTCAGAATGCAACAATATGACACACACTGGAAAGTTAACATTTCATTGTGGATGTCCTTTTAATAAATTTTTTCTAATTCAATACATAAATATTTTTTAAGTGTTCAAAGGGTATGACTGTATGAGAATCTGGTGTACAAGCTGCTCTAAAAAATTATCAGGAATAGCAACGTAGTACCTAATCAATCCGTGGCATTACATAAAACGGGAATGGGTTAGGAGTTACCTTCTTGATTAGAAGAATGTGAAAAAAGAGAAGTTGCGCAATTGGCAGCAAAGCAACTATGGCTAGAATGGTACAAGATGCCTGTATGAACAAAGATCAACATTTTGAGCGTTCAAGAAAAAATGTGAACAGAGTCAACTGGTTCTCCAAAGGAAAGGTGAAATAGCTAGAATTTGAAAGTAGAACAGCCAAACGCACCACCACAATAACATAAGGCACCACAGAGAAGCTGCTTCCAAGCTTTGACACAATTTGAATGGAGAATTCCTTTCGCTCAACAAAGCAGAACACTAGCACCAATACTCCAACTGCTGATTGTAGGATAAGCTGGCCCAAAGTGCACAAATCATGTAGACCTGTCAATGGTCAACTAGGATGAAAAGGACCAGGAATAAAATGCTCTATGCGGTAACCATGACCAAATTTATATGCATGCAAAAGACTTTAAGTGTAGCTGATGCTGGGACTATGGTAAACATTATAGACTAATGACAACAAGATTAGAGCACTATGCAGCACTCCTATCCATACAATCTTATAAGAGTAATTGTAGCTGATTGAACATGAGCTTACCAAGAATAGGGAAGAAGTCATCAGAATAAAAAACCTCATATAGTTTCTTTTTCCAATGCAATTGTTGAGCCACTGTTGAGATTGAGGAGAAAAGGAGAGTTACTAAATACTCGCTAATGGATGAATAAGAAATGATCTGTTTCAGGATAACCTTACCCTGCAGTGATGATCAAAACCATCAACACATTTGTCACAAACTCTGCAGTGCTTACTGTACTTCAATACCTATAAAAAATTAGCAGCATATTAAAGAGTTGAGTTGACAGAAGAAAAGCATAACTCAAGTACTCAACAGCTAGAAATACAAGAAGCATACCTCAACTTCACAGAGGCTGCAGAAAAACATTCCTTCCTCACTGGCTTGCTGCTCAGACCATTCCCGTGGTTGGCAGCAGGAAAAAACAAGATAGAGAGGGTAGAAAATAATGAGAAAAACAGAGGAAGTTGAACTGCAGCAAGATGGGTTATTGTCTTTGTAGCGAGTTGTTGACTTTTCACTAGCAGCTGCAAACTCATGTTCTTGCTTTTCTCCAGTTCCCTCTACTTGCAACCCTGAATCTGAAATGCCATGTCTGAATTCCTTCGGATGCTTGTGTTTGCCGCTTCCATACAATCTTAGGTACTTCTTTGATTTCAAGACACCTGGGTCAGCTGGGTCTGTTGCAGCACACCAGATGTACATGAAGAAGACAAATGAAACCTGAAAGGAGCCAAAATACACATTTCTATCATAAAGGTGTTAAGTAAATGCATACATTGACCATAATGGAATAAAGTAAATTCATGCAGGGTTTTGCACTTTTGCTAAGTGTCATTATTTTCTTTTAAAAGGGCATACGTGCTCAAGCTCGCCATTTGGCCACAACAGAGTGCCTGTCACAAGCTTGGATTCAGATCAGAAAAACACTGTGTTCAGGTAATGTTTGAAAAAATAACAGCACATGTTAATCCATGATGTAGTATGTTCCATTGTCACAATAAATTTATAGTTTTGTGAACTCAACTGTTTGTGATGTTCAGTAGCAGATCATATTTGAATTACAAAATTTTACAATGTATTATAACCCTTGTTTATTGGGGTCTGATGCTGTTTCATTTCATACCTATGGAGTTCAGGAAATGTGTTAGCAAAAACATCAGCTACTCATCACAAAATAAATACAACAATTTTCTTAAAAGCAATGAAAACTCCCAAAGGATTTAGGAGTGGTCATTAAAATAATCTGTGATAACCCATTTGTAGCAGACAATATCATAATAAAGTTATATGACTGATCCCAAGGAATTGCCTGTACCATCTTGGAACGATGAGGATAGCACAAAAACGAGGGCATGGTATCAGAAGGATTTGGACCAGTAAGAAACAACAAATATTAGCAATAAATACAACTTATGCCCATGCCATCTCCATCAAACAGAGGTACAAAATCCTACCAAACATGTACAAAATCTGTACAACCACAAAGCACTACTAATCAACCGGATTGACTCCAAGAAGCACCTGAGAGTTCAATGCATACAATGCCTGCTTTCTCCGATTCAGTGTTTCTACATGTGCCATATCGCTATTACATACACAAAAATATGCCTATACTGTTCTTAAACCTCGTAATGCAAGCAAAATTCTACCAACCACAAAGCTGAATTAGAGCTGTTGAACAAACTGGCAGTGACTGAAGGAGTTAGGCATGTCACATGATAGCACCAGAATTTCCCAGATTAGACTGAATTCTTGGTAGCTTGTACTACCAACCTCCAACAAACGAGAAGGTACACAAACACTGGAACCACTATCTACACTACACATGCAGGAGTGTGCTAAAACACCACATTTGCAGGTAATGCCTGCTTAATTTGGCATCTTCCACAAGTTCCAGCAACCACTGACGGGCCCCATCAGACATCACCAAGATGGGGATCCAAAGACCAAAGGTGCCAAACCACAAGGCAGCGAAACTCAACAGAGGACAGCAGTGGAGGCAAAAGCAAGAATCTTTACCAGAGGCGTGTAGAGCCCCACGGCCACGTCCTGGAACACCTTCTTCCCGACGAACGGGGCGAAGAACACGTAGAACGCGAACGCCAGCGCCAAGAACACGGACACGGCCACCACCTGCAGCAACAACTAAATTCTTCAGCAACCAAGAACAGCAAAAGATCAACTCCTCTCCCCGCCCAGGAAGAGGAGGAGGAGCAGAATTCCGTCACCAAGAACTCACCTGGAGAGGGTGATAGGGAAGCTGCCACCCATGCCGCCTCATGGCGACGCGTCGCCAAGAACCAAACCCCCACAATCCCAAACAGAACGAAGAAACCAAGAAAAGAACAACTTTTCTCGCGATCAATGCGAGGAGGAGCACGGGGTGATTCTCCCAAGAATCAAGAACTCGCGGGTTTCATCTGCCCTCCATCCCCTGCTACCCGCAACCGCATCCGTCGTGGGCTACGAGAGGAGGGGAAGAGAAAAAAAAAAGGGAAGGAAGAAGAGAAGAGGAGAGACCAAAGGAGGAGGGGGGCATTAAATGCAGCTCTGCTCAGATTTACTGGAGAGAAGCCAGTAGCCAGTAGCCAGCCAGCGAGGGAAGGAAGCAAGCAAAGCGAGGGGGGATTTCGCTTCACGTGAAGCTCTACTCCTCCTCCACACTGCGAGGCTGCGAGGAGAGAAGAGGAGTGGAGTGGAGGAGAGGACAGTGACTGTGACTGTGCAGTGTTGCTGCTGGACCTGCAGCCTGTCACGGTGGGGGCTCATGTGGTGGCGCGACCCGGTTTTAACCTCTTTGTCATCCATGGACTCCTCTCTATACACAAGAGAGTTTACAGCTTTAAACATAACCCAACAGCCGGTCGGAAAAACCTCTTCCAGTCTCACGAATTAACATGTCTTGGTGGGAATTAAACCCCTAAATTCCCTATCCCAAACCCCTCGAATTCCAAGTCTTCCAACCAAACTACAGACTTAAACTCCCAAGTATCGTAAACTCCCATTCCCCATCACCAACTCCTTCCAACCAAACAGGTCGTTCAAGTTTTTACGTAAACCGTTTGGATACGGCTGATTACTGGTGAAAATTTAACAAATTTTGACAAACAGTTCAAATTTAGTCCAAGTACATGTAAATTCAGTCCTAAGCCCTACTACATGAGGGAAAAAAAATTCATGGAGTTAGTTTCTAACACTTTATACATGTGGTCGACTATCTCAATATGGCATAAGCCACTTTTTTTTAACCGTATGTTGAGAGTCATACCATTGTATTTTTTAAAAAATATATATATAATTGTATATGAAAGTGTTGCACTTATTTCGTAGGAGTTAAATCTTCGACATAAAAAAAAAAACATAGAGGCCAGTTGGAAAATAAATGTGCAATAATAGCATTGGTTTGAATAGACTACAAAACATTTTGTATTAAGTATCCTTACTTTAGTGTCCTCATCATAAGGTGATGTATAGTTTGTATGTAGCGATATAATGTGGTGCTTGCGTACAAAAGTGAGGAAACGATAAATTGCAATAAGCCACCAAACCAAATAAAGAAAGGCTACTGTACATAATAATAGCTCCAAATTCAGTTTCATGAGTTATAACTCTATCACTATCAATGCTCAACCATATGAAGAAATACTCAAACTATGATAGCAAGGAAGACACATGCAATCTGCAAAGTGTACTAAGATACAAATCTTCATAAAGTGTGCAAGTCAATGCAACTACTTAATCTCCAATGTACCCTGCAAAATGTGGCAAAGAAAGGCACCATGCAATAGCCAAAATTAGCACTCACTTTCTCCCTATTTTTGATCTGAGCGGTCAGTTTGAGACAGATAATTGAGCGGGTTGTTGCTGTGAATTATTTAATAAATTATAGAAACAAATTAAATAATTTAATAAATAAACTTACGAAATAACTTAAAATAAATTGTTTAAGAAATATAGTAGATATATTTTAAAAAATAAAATCTATTTTATAAAGTGTGGAGCAAATAATTCGTTTCACTAATCCGGTAAATAATCTGAAAAAACTAATACTTGGCTACTGGCTACTTCAAATGACTCCATGATGCACAAATCAATATGTAACATGATTTTGCTTTCCCGTAAATTGCTATGCGGAATTTCATCTTTATTTTTTTTTACTCTCAAGAAGGTGCCAAATTATAGCGGAATTTCATCTTTGTTTTTTCACTCCCAAGAAGATGCTGAATTATCTTTTCCAACATATCAAAATTCAACAGAGTGTGACATCCGTACACGGCAGTTAGCGACCTCGTTTAAAGAAAACTAAGCTGATATGATCACGCTGTTGATTCCACTTTATCCTAGATTTTTTATACGATCTGTATGCTATATGTCTTGACCCTAGAGACTGATGTCTGTACAACTAAACTAAAGTTAAGCCATTGTTTCTTGGGTTAGAAAAACAAGATTAGTTGTTAGTACTGGGCTGGTGTGCTTCTTTGTCCTTTGCTGTTGGTGTCCTCCTTGGAGCTACTTGCAACCCTTCCATAGGCTCACAGAGATCTACAAATATAAGTATAAACAAACAGATTAATTAGCTGCAAATTAGTGAACACAGTGTATAGTGGTATGATATCTCAGAGGATATGGTATCTTGTGGGGGCAATCTGAGCTTGTGAATTGTGATAAAAGGAATGCTCCTGCAAAATGTCAAGATTACATGATTAGAACCATAATGAACCAAAATGATCACAAGGACAGAGGAAAAACAGTGCTAATCAACTCTGAATTTACAAAGGAAAACTTTGGAAAAGCTGCGCGTGACATTACATATGGATCGCCTCATTTCAGCTACTCATTTTGCCTGCCCTTTTAGCCAGGATGCAAATAGCCCCATGATGAAGTCACCATAACCAGTTGAATGATCCTTAAGCAAAGAATCATCCTCGCTATGATTGCTCATACAATGTACTCCAGATTTATAGTATTAGAATATGTTAAATCCCACCAAAATCTCTTATATTACATGACAGAGGGAGTAGTAGTATAACTTTTTGTGTACCTCGTGAATCGTGCATCCTCAATCAACAACATACTACTAGTACTTTGTTGTGCACACAAAGCATTAAGCATCCACGCATGTGAAGTTGTGGACCTGACCATGAACTGCACGAGCACGAGATACAATTGCATTGCTTCAAGAAATTGATGAACAGCTTTTGCTTCAGGGGACACAATCAACCGTGCAGAAATGGTGAGGATCAGAAATGGCAAGAAGGAAAAATAGAAAATGCAATGCAAGCATACTGATCTTAGCTAAGCCAAACAGGTTGGAAACATATACAGCAAGCAGGGCCTACTTGATTGTGAAAGGAAAAGGTAAATTAGTTATTGATAAATACTATTGCAAAGGGCCCTTGCCGTTAATCAATTGGGAATCTTGTGTCATGTGGCAATTTAATATCAACCTACTCCTCTCAATCATTTGAGGAGGAAGAGAAAAAAATGTGAAGTGCCTCACATATCCTATCCACAAAAGTGCTACTGTTGTAGTGTCCTGATAAACTGAAGCAAAATGCCACATTCCCACTAGTAGGCTGGGCATCAACCTAACCATATTAATTAACTGGAAATAGTGTATCATGGCCACATGTATTATCAACATCTAGTCTCTGTTCTTTACTGCCCCCCTGGTATCTTCAGTTCTTTACCTGTCTTTAGGGCTTGGCATTTGGTAAGATAGTACCAAACCTTTGTGATGTGATCACTTGTGTTGTGAGACAGCCACTGTGTGACATCCATCCAAAGAGCTTAAAAAAAAAGTTGGCTCGTGACTTTTTATGGCGAGCAACTTCTTTGGTTTGGTTTACTTTTGTTTGGATGGATTTCAGATTTTCAATGGAGAGTTGAGCACATGTGGTTGGACTTTGATTTGGCAATTGGGAACAATGTAATAACTGATACTACATTGCTGATTGTTGCTGGCGATACAAGACAATGGAGTGTACTCACCTGTGACCTACCTGCCTCTGCAAGTCTGCATGACGGGTTCACCTAAATCCATTGTCCTCTTGCGGCTTGTTTCAGTGGAGGGGGAGATGAGCAGCAATGCAGATGCCGCCATGGACCCGTTCTGACACCGGCCGTTCGTCTCATCTCCCGAGGACGCCTTTCTACCGCTTCCGCTAATCCGCGCTTTGTTTGGGGATTTAAGAGAATGGAATCTAGATTAGGTTTAACGCAAGCAGTTCATCGAATCATCAGCGATCGGTAATTCAGTAGTACTAGTAGTATACACTAGCCCTAGCCCGATCTGGGGAATCGTAAAATGCGGGTGGAATTACCTGGAGGTGGGTGGCGTGGGTCGTCGCCGATGCGGCGGCGCATGCGGGCGAGGTCGGCGCGGCTCACCGGAATGCTCCGTCGCCGCCGCAGCGGGTGGCTATGGTGGCCGCATGGCCGGGGAGGACGCCGGAGAATCCCGAAAAATATATTTAGGTTTATATACATGTGTGAAAAAGATTGGCATAACTACCTCCACCCTATAACGGGGGCGCGGGACCACACTTCCATTCCGCGGGACCAGCGGTCACGCAGGATGGACGTGCGGCACCGCCTCGCTCTTACAGCCCAGAGAGCGGCACCGAGGTGGCACGTGGGCCGAAACAGTCCCAAGGCGGTCCCATATACCCCTGTTATGTGGTGGAGGTATATTTGTGTAAATCTTTTTCTGTATAAACGTAAAATATTAAAAAAAAAAGTATATTTCCAAATTTTTCTACTTCTAACTTTTTACGAAAAGGCCCTCCTACTATATCTTATTGTCGTTCGTGTGCAGCTCAGTACCTGGTTCCCACCTCGGTTGTCAGCAACTCAGCACCCTGATCAGTGGATCACGCATAGGCGGCTCAGATGGAGCAATGAGAACATGGTGCACATTTCTGAAAGAACCCTTTTATTAACGAGAAAATTGCATATCTACCATCGCATAAGAGGGGATTCGCTCAAATACCATCACTTAGATGAGCTTCGCTAGAATACCACCCCTAACCAGGATATCTTTGCCAAAATAGCATTCCGGACAAAAATGCCCCAATTTCTTCTTCCTCCTTCGTTCCGTGCTTGAAGAATTTGCCGGCGGCCATCGCCGGTTTCACCGGCGCGCCAGCGGAGGTGAGGAATCGGGGCGAGATCATCGTCGGCAGTGAGTCGGGGTGGGCTGGCGGTCGAGATGACGCAAGCGACGTCAACGCGAGACGGATCCTGGGTGCTACCCCCTCTCCCGACGCGAGCTACCGGCGACCGAGACGACGTGAGCGACGACGGCCATGGACGGCGTGGGCAGGCATAGACACGACCACCGTCGCCGCGCGGAGCGAGCGGATGGCGGGGATCGTGGTAGGACGAGCTTGCTGGAGATGGGAGGTGGTGCGGATGTCCTCGTCGCCCTGGGACCACGCTGACGAGTGCCTGCACCTTCACTTCATCCTCCCCCGCGTGCTCACGTGGCGGCGCTGCCGGAGCTGCTCGCCGCGCCTTGACGCCGCCGCCGCCGTTTTCTTGTTCCGGAGTTGGAAGAGGTAGAGGTAAGGGTATTTCTATCCATGATGGTATTTTGGCTAAGGTGAATTAGTTGACGATGGTATTCTAGCGAAGCGCAATTAAACGATGGTATTTGAGCGAATCCCCTCTTATGCCATGGTAGATATGCCATTTTCTCTTTATTAATAAAGTGCCTATTCATTTTGTTGCCGCTTACAACCCTAACAAACTGAACATATATTTTACCAACCCTACCAAAATTTGATGATTTTAAAAGTTTTCACACTTAAAAAATCTACCAAAATTTAGTAAGGCTTCAAACCAGACATATACAATGCTACCAACCCTAAAATGTGTCAAAATTTGGCATTACCAAATTTTAATAGGGTTAAAAGTGGCTACAAAATAAGTACTTAAGACGGACCTTGTACGATCGCTAGAAGTGGTGGCGAGCCGACCTACCGATAAAGTTTTCAGTAATAGGATCATCAAGTTATTCTGATTGCAGGCATCGTCCTCCCATTGCTGCAGCCTGTCCAGGTTTCCCAAACCGCCGGGGCCGGGGTTACCGCGCCCCGGCGGTAAGCACGGTTACCGTGCAGTAACCGTGGTAACCGCGAAAAACCGTATAAAACCATGTAAAATTTATCAAAAATTTAAATTATTTTTAAATTTATTTGAATTTAAGGAGGTTACCGCGGTATTTATATTACCGTACCCCGCGATAAGCCCGGTAACCGCGCCGTAAGGTAAACCCTCACCAGTGGCGAAGAAGGTCAGCACGAGATACATATACTCTGCAGTACGGCTGATGCAGTAGCAGTGGCTGATATATAGGTCCCGGCTACACGTCAATGTCTGCTACTGCATCAGTAATACTGTAGACAATCCACACTGGTCAGCATGAGCTCCCCTGCTTCTCTCACGCCACTTCTTGTTGTACTAATGCGTATTGTTCATTTCTACATGGTTGTTTGTCTGACAGTTTAATGCACCATTACCATTGCTCTGTTTGTAAATACTACCTATGTCCGAGAATATTAAGGATTTTGCCTATATAATTACATGAGCAAAATCTCTTGTATTTTGGAAGGCGGTAGTAATTATTATTTAGAGTTCCTTTCGAACTCAGAATTCTCAAAACACACAAATAGGAAATACGCATGATTCAAATGTTATCACACCTCGAATCCTAAGAAATGAAAACACAAGAAACTGTTTGGATGGAGCACAAAGAAAACATATGATTTAGAAGTAAGATAGACACAAAGGAAAATTTCCAAGAGCTTGAAGATCATGTTAAGAATCTGTCGAGGGAAGATCCTCAATAGCGGGGAATCGTGAGACCCCCCATTTGTGAGTTCGGCCGGGGGCGGAGGCTCGTCTCTCGGAAATCACTCGCTCGTCCCTAAGATTACCGGCAAGCTTGCACGCAGTCGGATTATACAGGTTCGAGCCGCTATGGAGCGTAACACCCTACTCCTGTATTTGGGATTATGGATGAGTTTTACAAAGGTTTCTTCACTCTAGAAAGCGCGCTCGCTTCCTCTCTTCTGGAGTTCAGGTTTTCTGGGCGTCGTCCCCTTGTCTCAGTGGGCAGGGTCCTCCTTTTATAGCTCAAGGGGATACCACATGCGCCGCCTCTACCTACCCTCTCTCGGAGGGGGATCCTACTCCACTTTTCCTGGGCTTTAAACCGTGCCTTCTCCCGGAAGCTAAGCAACAACCGGTTCTCGAGTGGAACCCGACGCCGCCCCCCGCCTGACACGGGGGACAGCCCTGTCATTCCCTCATAAATGAACGATGACTTGCGACAGCCCTTCCTCGAGTGACGCTCGGACGTGACGGGTCATACCCACCCCCACTCCACCGGGAACAAGGGGGACGTGAGGACATGGTTGCCCTATCCATCGGATGTGACGGTGACAGGCCGGTCACAGACCGGTCACATCCGTTGGACAGAGGTTAGCTAGGCGCGCCGCACGTCTGCCCTTACCGCATTAAATGCGGTGAGAGACAGTTGGGGCGTCGCACATTTATGGCTGTTCAGCCTGTGCTCCCCTCTCGCTCTCTCCCTCCGCCGCGTGGCAGCCGGGTGAGGGCCTCGGGGCGAAGCCGCGGGATAGCCCGAGGGGGTGACGCCATGCCCCGAGGCCCTCCCTCCCCCCCTCCCCCCGCCGCTTCCATGACTCACGTGAAGCGTGAATGGGGCTAACTTGCAGAGTCACGTGGCCGGAGGGAAAGTAATTCCCCTCTACTTCACATACCCCCGAGTCCATATCTCCGACAGTAGCCCCCGGCGCTATATCGGATATCGATTTCCTGAGATCGTTCTGACATGGCGCCTCACGACTTCTCGAGCTGGGGTTGTGGGCCCGGCAGGGAATCCAAAAGGATATGGCCGCGTGGCCAGGTTGGCGTGCCAACCATAACAACGGTTTGACCGCCACTGACCGCGCTCATGATGAAGATGCTTGAGGCGCGATAACCGGGGGGGGTCAGTCAGACCACGCCTCGATTCTCTCGCTCGCTACTCCTGCGGCGGTAGTGGTGACGGTTTGCTCAACCTGCGCTCATGGCCATTGCGCACTCCACCTCGAGTGTGCCACTAACAGACGCACTAAAGGCGGGAGCGGATACAACAGGCGATGTGATGAGTGGGCGCAGGATGCGAAGAGACAAATGCGGGCGTGAGAATCGTGGGGGCAAGTATGGGAGCGCGAAACGAGGAGGCGAGCGCGGATGAGGCGAGGATAAAAGGGGGCGGAGGCGGAGACTCTGCCCCCTTCCCTTCGCCAACCGCCCACTCGTCCTTTCGCTTCTCGAACCCTAACATTCTCGCCACCCCATTCCGTCTCGCGCCCCATGCTCTCCGCCACCTCTCCGCCGGTTGCCATGGCCCAAGACACCGGTGACGCAGTGCTCCCTTCCTCCCGCATCACAACAGACAGGCACCTTAGCCTTCCCCGCAAGATCATGTCGGACGGTGCCGTCATGCGGGCGGGAGAGTCGCGGCCGCGGCCGTGATATCCGGAGCGATCCGTGCACCTCTTGTCCTTCGCCATGACGGGCTTGATTCCACCGTTCTCCAGATTTTTCCATGAGGTTCTGGATTTCTACGAAATTCATGCCTTGCATCTCGCACCCAATGCCGTGATGACGCTGGCCATCTTCGCGCATTTGTGCGAGATGTTCATTAGGGTGCGACCGACGATGCGGTTGTTCCAGGCCTTCTTCATCCCGCAGCTGCTGCAAGGCGCGGTGGTGGGGGGATGCTACTTCCAGCCTAAACCCAGCTGTAGAGCTGCCTAAATATAACTGGAGTTGAGTCTGGAATGGAGTTGTAGAGCTGCCTAAACCTAGCTCCACAACTCTAATACATTTTGTAAGAAAGCTCCACCCAACTCCACTCTTAGTTTTGGTGGAGCTGAAACTGTTTAGCTGAGCTCTATGAGGGGTGGAGCTAGAGCTGTGCCAAACAAGCCCACAGTAATTAGGGAAGCTAATGCAGCACAGATGAGGTGACTGCGCCAGCAAGGGTGAAATTTAGCTCATCGAGTCACAACTCAACGACACAAGGCTATGATCATGGAAAAGCTGCTGCATTCACTAATTATGAAAACCTTGGTACATTCACTACAAAAAAAAATATTCGTGAAGCACACGCATGTTTACATCTCGTATAGATCCCAGCTACAATTTCTCCGCCCCACATGGTTTCCCTACCCTTTCCCTGTTCCTATTTGTACAATTTCTACCTACCTACTACGATACTACGAGGCTCTACTCCTGAAGCATTGGCTGCACTTGGCCACTGGGGTTAGAAAGAATGGACAAGTAACATAAAAAACAAAGGAAAAAACGAATGATGTTAGCTTTGCTGTTAGTGTTAGTTCTTTACAGCAGTCAGAAGTTGCCACTGGGCGGCCCTGCTGGCCGAAGAGAAAAAAACCGGCCATCGCTAGTGCGAACTGCAATAAGAAAAAAAAAAACTTGTCAGAAAATTATACGATTCATTTATCAATGTATTGTTAAGCAACAGACACATGTGGCATTACCGTAAAGGGCGTCATGTACAGTTGCTATGGTGCAGCCATGCTGTTTCCATTGATGGCTGCATCATTTACACAACTTTTCTTGCCCTCCCCGTGCATCGAGCAGGTCATGCATTCGCCCAGCATGCAGATCATAAGCGCAACAACAGAGTTGGTCGTGGAGATCAACCTACATCTTTTCCTCGTCTGCTTGCAGCTCTTGTTTTAGTATCTGGCGTTTGTTTCACTTGCCGGCTTGGATTTGATGGTTTAGAGTCCTGTGAGCAGATTTTGAATTTTATAAATACGATGGATATAAGAGGTTGGCTGAAGTTGCCAAAGATACAGGTCAAGGATCAATACATTTTTACTAGCCAACTGTGCTTTAGACTTTTCTGCTTCTGCCTCTTTTTCAGCCCTTTTCTTATCGAGCTCAGCTTGCTTGCGGTTCTCTTCATGTGCTTTCCGAAACATTGTTACAAATGTTAAGAGGGTGGAGATAACTGCAACATCATGATCAACATAAGAGTTAAGCAACATACCAAAACAAGCAAACACATATGTTGATGATAAAAAATGCAGAAATAAGATATGCTCAATCAGCTGCAAACTACAGAAAATGATTTATCCTAAATTGTTTCTTTGCAAGGTATTACATATTTATGGGTTGAAATATTTTAAATAAGAATGATTTTCATGATAATGTGTTTGTGCTTATAGTGGGGGGTGCTCACACGACTGACAGTATCTTGATCCTTGACAGGTACTCGGAAAAAGAAAATGCTGAATGCACAACCTTAGAAATAAGTCACATTGATCATAAAAATTCTTACCTTGCTCAAAAGGGCAGCGTACAGGATCTTCGCCGAAATATTTAATCAGTGCATCAGCCTTTTTTCCCTGACAAAATAATGCAACAAATAATCAAGGCCAGAAGGAATGTGGGTTAATAGCATGCATTCCTCTTCATATAAGAAAACAAAAACATACCACTTCAGAAAATAATGAAGACAAAGATTGCACATCAGCTCCAGCATTGTCAGTGAATTCTTTCAGTTTCTGAACAGTGCAAACAATACCGATTTAGAACTAACGGGATTTTTACTCTTCAGCTTTACACAAATAGAAAGTAACTTTTAAATCAGGTTCACATGTCAGATTGATTGAAACAACGGGTTTATCAGTAACCCATGTATATATATCAGACGTGTACATCTGTCTTGAGTAACAGGTGTATCACCAATAGAGGCTCTTTTACTATTGTATATTAGATTCTCATTTGGGCATGTCCCAGTAAAATTGATGTAATGCTGTCTGAGAAGCACATCCAGATGACAATCATAAAACAAGCACATGAAAAAACTGTTAACAAGCCTGGATAACGTTTTTGTAGAATTTCTGGGGAAGAAATTACTAATTTTAGTCCACATAGCAGGTAGTGTAATCCACTAAAAGGAACCAACTTAATATTTAAATACGTCAGAAATAAGTCAAAATGGGGTAGATCCTTGACCTCACGAAAAATCTCTGATACTGGACCATCACTTTCTGAAGCATTATACTCGAGCTGAACCTTTTCCAGCCCTTTACTAACCGCTTGCATTTCTTCTGCCAGCATTTTTAGTTGTATCTGTTCAGGAAAACACCGATTAGAACAGCATATACATATCGAAAGTAAATAAATTATATATGCTACAAGATTGATAGAATAGTAAAAGAAAACTCAAACCTTTGATGTAGCTTCTAAACTAACAAGATCCATGTAGAAGTCCAGAAGCTGTGATGATTTTGCAGCAAGTACCTGATATTACATTTTCTTTTGTTAGGGTGTACGCAAGATAGATACTGATGTAAAATCATTTCAACTCAAGCAAATGTGAACTTAACCAGGACTATAAAGAAGTTATGGCCAGATACTCAAACTATAAGTCATCGTAGAATATAGTAATATAACCTTGTTACAGAATAAATTAAGTGGAAGTGCATCATTGTATATATATTTGCTTACAACATGACATGCAAATCATGAACTCACAGTTTCCACCATCAAATAAATTGACTTCAGGGTCCTGATTTGAATAAAATTATTTGATGCAGTCCAAACTTGATTTACAGTTAAGCAGGTAAACTATTGGTGAAAAGCTACCATGTTCACTTTCGACAACCTAGCGGAACAGGAATTGTTTAAGGCGTACCTTGCAGAGGTAGTGCATAAGTGTCATTTTATTATTTGTTGCTCGGGTATCTGTTAGTTTTAGAAGACTGTCCAACCGGAAGCCAACTGCAGCACCTGTAAGCAAACCAACAAATGTGAAACTATCCAAGAACAGTACTAATAGTCTAATATATAACCAATTAACTAAAGAAAATCAAAAGGATGCCCCAGTGTAAAGAAACAACTGAACTAACAAACAATTTGAATGTTACCAAATGTGTAACCTATCATTATGAACTCTAGAAGAACGAGAAAAGCCATCAGTAGCCCTACATACTCCTGTATTTGTGGTGGTGATAATTGATTTAAATTAGAAACATCGGTCGCATTACTATGGGTTTTTCAGAAACTAGGATGTTGCCTATACTCCAAAAGAAAGGGAGGAATTATCAGCCTAAATTGATTATTCATTCTTCCTAGGATGCACAATCTTTTTGTTCCAACAAAAACACCGTGCCTATTTTTTTTTCTCAAATATGCAGGAGAACTGCATATCATTGCATTAAGGAGAGAATATTTACAAGACTCAACACACATGCCCCCACTTCCTCACAATGATTTTAAAAATACACCACAAACAAACAACAAAAGAAAAAGAAAAAAGAACTTGTGGGAAAGATTCCTATTTTAGAGATTAAACATGTTGCAGGAAAACTTCAATGTCAATCTCTTCATTTCTGCCTAGCAAGAAGCCAGTAAAATTGCAGAGCTGGTAGACATAAATGCAGCTGCATTTCATATGCCAACGAATAACTAAAGATAATGTGACCAACTAAATTGAGTGTAACAGAGAAAATGCAGTTGTTGTACCTCTAGCAGTACCCTGGTTCAATGTATTCCCAAGGAGGAGAATTTTCTTCATGATTTCTTTTAACTTGAGAGAACTTCGAATCTGATGATGCAGATATTTTTTAGAAAACAGGAATTCGACTTAGTATAAATTACATAAGAAGCAATATTGATTGCTAAAAAACTAATCCCGATTATAAATGAACCTCATCACATGAAGAGTCTATGGTGTTCAAACTTTTTCGAAGATCTGCGACTTGCGAACCAAACTGGATCTTGAAGGAGAACACCCGCAGTTTTGACTCCATTCGTGGCACTTTCATCAATTCTAGGAAGAACTGCAGCAGGAAAATAATTGTTTAATGCATACGGATCTACCAAGCTGGCATAAACGTATAACACCTGAGACCATTTTGCTTTAAAAACTCAAAATGTAAAAGGTAATGTCTTTAGTGAATGTGGACTGACCAGGCCATCAAATACTTGCAAGGCCAAGCAACGAAAATAAACAAATAACTAATTGGTTGATTGGTACTCCCTCCGTTTCATATTATAAGTCGATTTGACTTTAGTTTGACTAAGTTTATAGAAAAATATAGCAACATCTTCAACACAAAAAAAATATTATCAAAATATATTCAATGTTACATTTAATGAAACTAATTTGGTGTTAGAGATGTTGCTAAATTTTTCTATAAACTTGATCAAACCTAAAGAAGTTTGACTAGGAAAAAAGTCAAAGCGACTTATAATATGAAACGGAGAGAGTAGAAGTTATTTAGTTGTCGTCTTATCCAAAGCACTATTTCTTAGGCTTATCTATTTAAGAGGTAGGAGATTCGTTCATGAATTTAGCCTCTGCTCCTTCCATCTATCTCTGTAGATGTTCCATTCTTCTATTGTGCACCTTTATACTCTCGTGCCAGTTATCCTTAAACCATGCCCATTCATTTTAGAAGTAAGAGCTAAACAAAGTTTCCCCCCACCCTATTTCCTACACTCTTAACAAAAATTTAGCCTCTGCTCACTATGCCATCTATATCTGCTGTGTTCAGCTTTTCTCTAGCTATAGTGCCATTTTTCTCCTATGCCAAATTGCCAGTTTATTATCGAGCCATATCATACGGCCTCTTCTACACAGTATCCACCCTGTTTTGAGTTGATGTTAAAAACAGGGATATTAGTTATCAAGCAGAGGAACCAGAAGACTGTTTTATGTACATTTAAACTCTGACCATTGTGTTTCATTCTAAAATTGCCAAAATCTCCAATTAAGACCCAAAAAATGTGTTTTTATGTGTGCTGACAGGACTAATATATAATAAAGCACAATGGGCAAATATTCTAATTCCAGTAACAATGGGCAAATATTCTAATTCCACTAGATGACTAGATGGCAAATAACCATTACCTGTTCGCATTTACCCAGATTTTCCTTATCTCCAGTGTAATTCTGGAAAAAAACGAGACAGTAAGCCAACATAGTTTTCAGATGAGATCACAACAAGGCCAAACATTGTATTACCTTGAGAAGTTCCATTTCTTCTTTTGTAGGACAGAACTTTATGAGATTCTCCACTTGATCAACATCCAAGGTAGATTGGTCCAGTGCCAAAGCCGCACTCTAGAGAAAATTTAAGCCATTAAGATATAAAAAATCAATCATGTTACCATTATCTTTGCTTGTTTTATAAGATAATTACCACCAAATCTGGCAGTGGCATCTTCACTTTTGTCAGCATGATCTCTGTGTTGTTTGCCCTCCTCAACTCAATCTAATCACATAAAAGTGTTAAGACTATTGTAACATGGTCATTTACAAAGTCTAATAAATACAGGTTCTTGAGACTGTTTGCATAGTTTTGTGATATGATAATGAGATCATGTAACACATTTGTCATAACTTAAATGTCCAACAAATCTAGTGTCTTTCTGACCTTGATCACTGATACAAATTAGAAAGGAAATTAAAATTAGCATGTACTTACTAGGTGAACTTTTTCTGGCTTTGAACCAAGCGATTTTCTACGTGAATCAGATTTAGAGCTGTCATTCGGTTTTGGAACAGCTGCTGGAAAAAGGCTTTCCAGCTCTGACAAATCAAACTCCGAAACACTGCAGAAAAGAAATTGACAAACATTAAGGCAAAACCTAGTAAAAAAGCATCACAAATATTGAGCCAGTCTTTGTGGAGTAGATTGTACGAGATTATTAGCAACTGAATTGTAGAAAATTCAATGCTACAATCATGACACCAAATTATTTACAAATCCTGGATGAAGCCTTACAGCAATCAGCCAATCACATCATTGAAATTTATGTGCATATATCAATAAGCATGGTCAAATGGAGGAAGAATTTTAATCAAAAGGATATACCTCTGTGAGTCATCATTTCGCTGTAATTCTTCCCATAGACTTCCTTGCAAAGCTCTAGTCACCTTGATCCAATGTAATGGCTTTAAAGTTGATTTACGTGCAGCTGCAGCCCCAAAACCTGATCCTGAAGCACGTACCACCCCACGCCCTCTACCTATTAAACTACTAGGATTGCCTCCTGGAGGTGGTGGTGCTCCTGGTCCTCTAGGAGGAGGTGGTGCACGTCCACCAGGAGGTGGAGGTGGGGGAGGACCACCGAGCCTTCCCCCAGGGGCAGGCGGTGGTGGAGGTGCTCGCCCACCAGCTCCAGGTGGTGGCGGGGGAGGTGGAGCTCCAAGACGTGTGCTTGGAGGGGGTGGAGGAGGTGGAGCACTTGCACGGCCACCTGGAGGAGGAAGAGGTGGAGCACTTGGACGACCACCTGGAGGGGGTGGAGGTGGTGGAGGACCTGGGCGAGCACCTGGAGGTGGTGGAGGAGGTGGAGGACCTGGACGTGCACCTGGAGGTGGTGGTGGAGGTGGAGGGCTAGGGGGTGGAGGTGGGGAAGGTGGTGCTCCTGAACGTGTGATAGGCGGTGGTGGCGGTGGAGGAGGGGCATTAAAATGTGTTGTTGGAGGTGGTGGGGGCGGTGGCGGAGCATTAAAGCGTGCAGCTGGAAGTGGAGGTGGTGGTGGAGCATTAGAGTGTGAGATTGGCGGTGGTGGAGGAGGAGGTGGAACGGATCGTAACAAGGGCGGTGGTGGTGGCGGTGGAGGAGCACTTGAAAATGCTCGAGAGGATGGGGCTGAGGGAGGGGGAGGTGGCGGTGGCGGTGGAGGTGGGGGTGGGCATGGAGCACCAGAACTTGGTTTCAGTGGTGGAGGAGGTGGTGGCGGAGGTGGAGAAATAGCAGGAACAGTTGACCTTAGAGGCGGGGGAGGAGGTGCAGGTGGAGTATTCCCACCAACACCTGACCTAGGAGGTGGAGGAGGGGGTGGAGGAGGAGGGACAAAAGTTCGTGTTTGTGCTCCAAAAGACATAAGTGGAGGTGGAGGGGGAGGAGGAGGAATGCTTGACAAGCCTGATGAAGCTGGAGGAGGTGGCGGTGGCGGCAGTGGTGGTGGTGGTGGCGGCGGCGGTGGCTGCTGCTTTGTAGCTGATCCCATGTGCATTGATAAGGAACTTGAAGAAGCATAGGGTGGAGGTGGTGGAGGTGGAGGTGGAGGTGCAGCTTGAATTTTTGGCACAGCTTGTGCACCTGATGATACAAGAGGTGCATCTTTGCCAACATTGAATTTGTTATTTGTATGCATGGAATGGATAGCTAGTGCAGCTGGAGAACTATCATATCTAGATGGAGGATGAGATGGCCTATGCACAGAGGTAGTTTCAGATTCTTTATTGGGTGAAATCCATCTGCGTACTGTCTTAGGTTTGACTGCCTTTGGTTGTTCTTGCGATTGGTCACTATTGCCTAGCTTTTCTTCCAATAAAACTGCCTCAGGTGCATGGTCTACTGGCATCTTCTTTGAGGGCACAACTTTATCAGGTATTTGCCTTCTGTCACTGCTTATCCGTGGGCTCTTAGCCCTAGCTTCTATTTTACTTTGAGGAAGAGATATGCCAACATCCCGTCTGCCACCAGACTCTTCTCTCTTGGTTTTGATTTTTGTTGCTATTTCAGTGGCTGGTAGGACAACAATGCTACCCTGCACAGTGGTTTTCTTTAGAGATATGGCATCTTCAAGCCCAGATTTCAATTTAGTTTGCTCCATTTTGCTATCAGTTGTATCAGCAGCTTTAGCGACCTCCATCTTGTGATTTTTGTTATCTTGTGAGTCCACACTCTCGATAACAGATCTATCTAATTTAGGTGTAGTGCTCTCTTCATTGACAACATTTTTCACTTCCTGCGTTAGGTTTCCATTATCAACTATAGTTTTCTCTTCATAGATCACCAGCTCATTGTCCACGATTACTGTACTCTCGGTAATAATCTTGACATCAGCATTCTGCAGTGCTACATTTGGTATAGTTCCTAAGCGGGTATCCTCATCCACACTGGATAAAGTTCTAGGAGAGCTGAATCCAGTATAGTCCAAATTAGGGTATTTCAATATTTTTGCAGATTCGTCTGGTTGGCACTGAACTTCATCACTGCAACTTGGATCTATTGCGGTGACTAAAGTTTGTGCAATTACACCTTTCATGTCCTCCTTCTGACAGATGGATCCAAATTTGTGCCCCTCTGAATCTACAGAGGCAGCAACCACTTGTATGTCCTGCACAGCATTGTCGTCCTGGTCACTTCTGTTGCTTAATTTGGGCATCTCCTCATTCTCACACGCCTGCTGCAAACCTCCAGGGTTTCCCAAAATTTCTGCAGGTGCACTTACTGGTCTATCACTCATGCAACCTAAATTCTGGGAGATAACTATCTTCACATCCTCATCAGCCCTGTGCTTCTCTAGGCTTCCACTGTCTTCTCTTGATACTCCACCATCCAGTTCTGCATCACCTATTGATGTTCTGCCATCAGTCGACTGTGTTTCTGGATCTCTTCTAGCATCATGCCAATCCTCCTCTGCTTCATAAAACTCCTCTCCTGTATCTACTGAAGCAACATCAGTCTCATCTCCATCATCGTCTACCTCCTCCACGGTAGCAGCGGCAGGCTTGAAAGAACCAGGGTCTGAAAAGACTACCTGGTGCAGAAAAGGAATTCATTTTAGATTCATTGTCCATAGGAGACACTAAAGAAACTAAGTAAAAAGAGTAGCGTACAGGCAGCTGAATTTATTACCTCAGCTCGGAAGTCCCTTGGGAACTGATTATTAGAATTCCATGACACATCAATATCGTCACGATTCAGGCCAAGGATGTTGGATTGAATGAACGCAGTGTTGAACATGACCCTGAACATTATCTCCTCATGGTCAAGGTTATCACCAATATGAATGCACTCAAGAACAACATCTCCTTGAACACGGCAAAAAGCACCAACTTTTACTGGGACTTCCGCCTGCATTGCAACTATTCATCAGAGATGGTTCAGAATAAGGTAAATTATTTCATAACTTAGGAGTTAGCATTACCTGCCCATAACGCTGGAGATGTTTCTTGGTCTTTGGCATCTCATAAAGTACTTTGGCGCTCTTGTTACTAGAACTTGAATCTTGCCCATGTACACGCAAATATGGCCTACAGCCCCCTTCGGCATCAAACCTCGGAACAACGTGGAGAACTATTGAATCCAAGATGAGGGGTCGGCTAATAGGAGGCTTTTCTGGACCACTTCCTTGTCTTGTTATATAGTGCAAATATCTCATATGTGAAGACTGAGGATTCAAAGGAAAGAATTGTTGTATAAAGTCCCTACGGGCCTGTTTATAAACCATCTCTAGAGTTTTCTGCTCGCCAGTGTATGTTTTCCTATATAGCAGCAGTCCAGCCAACATGAATGCAAGCACGGGCCACCCCCCTCTTTCACAGTGCATCAAAAGCATGTTGTGCTGCCCTTCCACTGATAACCAATTTTCACAGGATTTCAAGAAATGATGGATCATCTCAAGCTGAAGCAGTGGGCATCCTTCATACTGCTGCGGGTAGTCCATGACAGTCATGTCATACTCAGACAGGATATCTGAAATCCGGCTCCTCTTGTCCCCAGACCAGAAATTGGACACCATGAAAGATGCATCCGGAAAGTAGTCCTGCAGCTGCGCAACAATGCCGCTCAAGTAATCCCTGTACTCATCCTCACCCATGGAATCAGTTGAGAAGCAGCAGTCGAACACTGAAACATGTGTTAATAGAAATTAGCCAGAACTGGTATAAGCAACTTTTCATCTTTCGACTAGAATTAAAGAAAAGGAAAGCACATCTAGCACTAAAAGGCTACCAGCATCCTGATTTTTCACACTGCAAGTGTGCTAAAATTCATATTTCCAGTTGAATTCAAGTATTTGATCCAAGTGGTTTCAATATAAAAGTACACCATTATAACCAAACATTAGATTCGCAGCAAGCAGAAATTAACCATATGAACATGCAAGCAGGATATGGTGGGTCTACGGCCGATTTAAGCCAAATGCAGCTGAGCCCAAAGCTTCCCGCAGAGCAAAACTCCACAATCACACAAGATTCATAGAAGGAAACAAATAAAGAAAAAATTAAGCCAAAATGCAGCTAAATCTAAGGCTTATTAAACACATGCAAACCCAGTATCAGACCAAATGCATGACCCAAAATCTAACTCAGAAATTACTAAATATAGCGCTTACGCCCTGCGCATGCCCTAAATTCCCGCTTAAATCAACACCCCAGTAAGCAAAACCTTCCCAAAATTCGAGCCCCCCAAGCACTCCAAAGCCACAAATCCCCCTCGGAACAAAAGGCTCCCCCGCAAATCTCACACCCCCACGGTCCCAATTCCACCCAGAGGCGAGGGCATTATACCATAGACGCGCTCGGAGATCTCGAGCAGCCGATCCGGCGTCTTCTTCAGGAAGAATTTGCGGAAGAGCGCCATCCTTCCCCTCCTCCTCCTCCCCCTTCTCCTCCGCCGCCGCCGCCGCCTCCGCCTCTCCTGCGCCCCCCTCGCCGGGCGAGCTGCTCTGACGCCTCACGCGGCCACCGATCGGCTCCGATCGGGGCGCCAAAGGCATGGGGGGCCCCACCCGCCCGCCGCCCGCCGGCGAGCTCAGCGGAGGAGGGCCCGCACCCACCTCCCCACCCGGGGATCTCGGGATCGACGCCCTCCCGCCGCCTAGGGTTCCCCCCGCGTCGGGGGCGCGCGCTCCCCGGCGGCAGCAGCAGCAGCGAGCGAGGGCGCGGTGGTGGTGGTGGTGGGCGTGGAGAGAGAGGGCACCGTGGGATTGGGACTTCGTTTCCTCTCTACTGCCTCCTCCTCCTCCTGCTCGCTTCGTTTGAACTCCACTTTAGTAAAATCTTTTTTTCCCCTTTCTTTCAGCTCCCCCCAAGTTTTTACTGCTTTTTTTTTCTTTTTCTAATCTGCTTCTCAATTTTTTTTCGCTGCCGCGGTGAATGTTTTTTCCCCCGGATAACAGTGACAGCGGTGAAGCCGCCGCGACGACGGATACTCTTGTGCCACTGCCATGCGGGGCCACTTAAAGTGGGGCCCAGCGTCAGTCACGTGGGGTAGGGGTGGGTTCGTTGCGAGGGTAGAGGAAGGCTGGACCTCGGCGGCTGTGTCGGTACGTGCGTGTCCGGGTTTTCATTTTCTTTTCTTTCTCTTTCGTTTTTTTTTTACTTGAGGGAGACGGGATCTCATCTGGTGAGATAGATTCTTTTACCGCCACCCCCCTAAGTTCGCGGGAAATGCGACTATTTTTGGGATTATCACGTGTTGCTGGTCATTTTCTTTACCGTTAATTTGTACTGGGAAGGAATTTAAGCGCAGCGCATGTTTGTCCATGCCAGTGATTAGCATTGACAGATGTTTTCTAGTAATAGATGATTTGTGAAATTGTTGGCATTATGTTATTTTCAGTAGGAAAAAATGATGATGGTGACAGCTGTGTCCTGGATGAACTGGGCTTTATTCATTGTGCTCTCATAAACGAGTGGAAGTGGAATTTTTATGAATTCAAGTGATCTGCTGTCTATAAGGAGAAAAAAAATAGCATGCGCAAAATGCACTCGGACTAATTGCTGTTATATTTGAAGTAATCATTAATACCCTCTCCTATCTAAAATACATAATAATCTTGTCCTGGATCACACACAAGGTAGTATAAACTTAGCTAGAGTGTTTTTTTTCCTTTTACACGAACTAGCTAGAGTGTTGCTACTTGATCTGCTTGTATGTCAAAAAAAACAAAAACAAAATAAAGAAAAAAATTAATGTAGCAGCATGCGAAGGAACCAAGAGGACGAAAATGTACATTGGATCCTATCCAACACAAAGAACCCATTCCAAAATGGGCCGTACATCCGTTGCCCTTGGCGTGGTTTGTGCCGTTTGTTCGCCTCACGAGTGACCTCAATTCATTTATGAATCCCATTGCCAAATCAAACACAACCCCGGCCACACTCCCTTCTCTAACAATTTCGTGGACATCATCGAGCATGTGAGCGGCCGCCATCACAAACGTGCACCCAAATTAAACCAATTAACAAACAAACTTAAGGACCCATACAAAGAACTCCTTCACCGAAAAAAAAAAAAGAAGAAGAAGAGAGAGCTGCGTAATCCAAACCGACGACCACGATCACCATCCAGCAAAAAACGGACGGCTCTCGTAGCGGAGGCCTTGCCGAGCGCTTGGGGACAAGCCGTGGTGGAGGCCCCCGAAAGTGACCGCGCGGCGGTCGCGAAAAGGGCGCAGCGGCAGCGGATCAGCACGGTGCACGAGACCGTTGCCGAGGCGCGCGCGGCAGAAAACAGTAAAAGCGCACCCGTGTTTTCTTCGCCTTCGCTTCGCTTCACCGCGCGCGCGCGAGGCGACGTGGGTGGGTGGTTGACTGGTTGCGCCGCGCGCGCGCGGGTGTGGGCTCGAGTCGAGCGAGCTCGACCGCTCGAGGCGACGTGCAGCGACGGGCGCGCGGCTTGGACGGGAGCTGTGCGTGGCGACGGCAACGGCCGCGGGGGCCTGTGTCTGTCTGCCCGAGCGTGTTGGACGCGTCCGTCCGGGCCGGGCCGGGACGGCGACGGCGACGGCGACGGGTTGGTTCGACCGGTCTCCGTGGATATTGTTGTTGCTGGTCTTTTGTTTTGCTTTTCTCCTATCCAAAATGTTTGGCGCCGTTGATTTTTTAAAAAATATTTGACCATTCGTTTTATTAAAAAAATTTAATTATTAATTCTTTTTCTATCATTTGATTTATTGTTAAATATACTTTTATGTATATATATAGTTTTACACATTTCACAAAAATTTTTGAATAAGACGAACGATCAAACATGTTTAAAAAAATTAACGGTGTCAAATATTTAGGGAATGAGAGAGTATAAATTAAACATGCGACGCTAGCTGTGGATAGCGAGAAATGTGGCGTGTGGCGTGCATTTCATCAGGGAAACAACTGGGATATTTTCTATTTTTTTCACTTTTACGGAAAAGGATGCGCCTGGAGTGCAATGTTGTTGGAGTTTTCCTCCGGGAAAAGAAAAGATATTGTTCATGGTAGCCAGCTAGTTCGACTATAAGGAGATCCAACGGTTAGATATTTCTAACTGGCTACTCCTTCTGAGTTTGTTCTTTTCTGTAGAATTTTCACTCGCGAAGAATACTCGTGTAAGGTTCCCATTGTTTGCTCCATATAGTATCTATCGTTGCTAAAATTTGAATTTTCAAACTCAATTTTAAAGTTTTTTCATTGTAATTTATTTTCCAGCATTAACATTTAAATCACTAAAAACACATATAAGAAAATTTTATATATAAATTGTTATTATTTTGCTAATACGCTGAATAACGTAATATTGTATTTAGCCTAATGCTGGGAGCCTAGAGTATCTGCATGGACGGATATATCCACTTGGCAGCCGCCCACCATCGTACTATCCCGTATGTTCGGTGGCACGGCGTCGCGACCCACTTGGCAATAAAAAGCGCGGAAAATACACGCACACGCCGCTCGGCCCATCGCATCGCGTATTTCGCGATTTCGCCGTCCCATAAAAGCAGCGTCACGTATGCAATGAATCAGCAACGCCGTGATGTGAGCCTAGCGCAGTAACGCTCGCAGTTAACGGCGTTCAATTGTGAATTATCCGCGGCAGTAAAAAAATGAAGTAGTAAAAAACTCTGGACTTGTACCGCTCGTACTCTGCTTCTGCTGCCTGCGTCGTTTCAACGGTGCGGTTAATGATCGCGATAAAAAAAAGGGGGGGCTTAATTATTCGCTCATCAGCACAGCACCTGGACTAGCTAGAACGTGCAATAATAACGACGTTATTACTAATTTTTACGTCAATTAGTAGTAGTACCACTGATTGATTTATCGATCGCGACCGTTAGAAAAGGTGAACAGTGAAGAGTCTAATCTGATCTAATCTAATGCATGGCCCTGAAACTTCCCTTTCTCTCTCTTTCTCTCTCTCCTATCAAATATCAACAGTACAATGGTTATTTCAGTTCTCCATCATGGGATCGTACTCTGTTTAGCATGGGATTAAGCTAGCGTACGTACGTGCATCCGTGCGATGGACACAACTACTACAGCTGCAAGACAGTCGGCGAAGGCCAGCGATACGTGACCGTATTATTAATTCGAGCCCAATTTATGATTGATTTATACTAGTATTCGTGCGTATAGGAAACAGTAGCAGAGTTTGATAAGGGGAGTGTCCCACGTTGCTTTTTTTGTGTGCAATCCGGAGTGTCGGAGGTCGACAGCGATCATTGCTGGACCCGTCGTCTTCCCGGGCGTCGCTCGCTGCAATTCATACAGCAGCTGAGTAGTCGCGTGTTCACTACTTCACTCATTCACTCGCAAGTCGCAACCCTTTTTATTTCTCTTTGAGCTACATTGCTATGGATTATACACGCTCCGTGGCTTTTTTGTTTCCGTCCGATACCAGCATCATTGTAATCATTTTCAGTCGCGAGAAAAAAAACCTGAATTTATCTCTAAATTAATCCAATACTATTCGACAATACGTAAGACAAACAGTACGGTCCGTTTCTAAATATCACTCGGATTGGTCGATGGCTATCGGAGCCACTTTCACCCAGGATTTATAATCCCAATAGCTACGAATGACTCGAAATATATCCAGATTTATTGGATCAAGTTCAAGATACCAACCACCCCGTTTTTCGGTTTTTGTCAAGTTCAAAAGAACCCAAACTGAAATTTAGTTTTTTCTTTGTCAAGATTTGTTATAATTTTATCGGTTTATGGGCGGTTTTTGATCTGGTATCAGAAGTGTGAACCCCTACGCATGGGCAGACAAACGGGGTGGAGCGCTACGAATTGCCGTCGAGTAAAACCATCGTCTCTCGTACCGTGCGCGACGACGGAGATCAGGGCGGACGGCAGCTGCCTTGCAATGCGGATCGATCGGAAAGTGGGTGCTGCTGGCTGCTGCGTGGATGCAATGATAGAGGGAAGAGCGTCAGCGTCCCAGCTTTTCGGTCGCAGTCGCAGGCTCGCAGCAGCGGCAGCCGGGCAGGTCGCGAGGCGAGAGAGAGCACATGCGTGCGCCCGTGCCGGTGGCGTCGTCCTCCTCGCCGCGCTACCTTTTTTCTTCGCGGAGATGGGAGGGGAGGGATAGCTAGCTAGGCGACAGGCGGAATATTAGCCCACTGTTCGTGCGCCTCTCGCGCACTCGCGGACCAGCGAGCGGGGGCACACATGCGTCCGTGGCCGAGAGAGATTGAGATCAGTGGCAGCAGATCACTGTTGTTAAATTAAACGCCATGCAAGATGCAACAGTGAGAGTGTGACACAATCATCGCCATCGGTTTATTTGGTTGGAGTTTACTAGTAAAAGCATATCGGTTTTGTTAGGTTTGTTAGGTTCTGATCGGGAGGGAAAGGCCCGTTTATTCGATCGATCTGAAGTCCACATCTACTAGTAGCAGTACTAGTAATAATTTCCCATAAAAAAAGTACTAGTAGTAATTTGCCATTTTTTGTTTTAAATAAAAGTACGTAATTTGCCATTTTAGTATTTTCGTTGCTCGTGCTGTCATGGGCGGAGCCATTTGGACTAGCCATCCAATCTGGGCCTCTAGGTTACACGGCCCAATTGCTCGGCCCGTGCGCGAGGCGACCGCAATGCACACACGTTACACGTTTCACGACTTCACCCCGGCGTCCGGGATGCACGTACGTACCTGTACACAGCACACGTAAAGCAAACCGTACTCTTTCTTGAAATTAAACACGACGGCATACAACCGTACTCTATTATAGTAGTATATATCGTTTCTATATATATATGTTCTAGTTCTTTTTAAGTCAAA